TTCGGCGTAAGTGTGGCTCCAGGATTCCTCCACTGCGGCCACAACAAGCAGGCACATGGCTGGGCTTGCCGGGTTCCCCATGGGTGAGCCACGACGTTGGGCAAACATGCGAGCGCCTATGACGAAGTACCGAAGGGACAAAATGGTGCGGAGGATGGTGGGCATGTCCTCCAGCCATACTCGGTGTTCGTGGAGAGGAGCGCGACGACGGTGACCTCGGAATAGTCGTAGATGTGACTGGCGTTCAGTCACGTTGACGGAGATCCATGGGGCGTGGCCGGGATTGGCTGCGAGGTGTCGGTCGTTCAGCACAAGCCATGCTGAATGGAATCTTTCGTCAGGAATGGAAGTGAAGAAGCCCTCAAGGTCTTGGTTGTAGATGAGGAAGTGCGTTGTGCTCTCGTTGTCACGGAAGAAGCGTTGAATCGCTGTAAGTTGCCACACGTCGTGATGCTGGAGGGATCGGGGAAACGCCACGGCCACAAGCTGATGCAGCAAGAAGGCCGTGGCCAAGAACAGCTTTCTGGCGAAGCAGCCGGCGAATGAAAGGATGGGGCGGCCAGCAGAGAACTGTTTTTTGCGCTTCGGCAGATGATAGGCTGTAGGAACGCGACCATAGTCGTGAAAGGCCCAATCGCACCGTGGAAGAGAGCGGCGAATGGCATGGACCTTGTCGTCGTGGTGCTGCAAGGGTTTGATGCCCACCATTTCTTCGAAAATGTCACCATGTGTTGCCCAGCATGCGATAGTACTGGATCGGGCAAAACACCATCAAACGGTGAGCCGCGTGGTCCTCACAACGCCAGACCAAGTTCCCGGCGCACTCCTTCAAGGCGTGAAGGGCGCTAGCGTCAAACACTGCCTTGCCGCACTGTTTGTGCGTATTCCAGTGGAGGGATGCGTGATCCTCCAACCACTGCTGGCGCACGTGCGGTAAGTGGCGGGTGCACCAACGGTTAAAGGCCGTGACATGGGCGAGAATGTACTTCTGCTTGGAGGGGTAGAAGGCGTTCCTGCTGTTGCCGTCCGCGATGATGTGAAGGTGGGGAGGAAGATTGAGGTGAGAGGCAGGGCAAGCCAGGTGTCCGTCGACAAGATGGGTGTGTTCACCAGTTGCTCGTGTTGCCAGCGTGTGACAGGCGCACACGGGTGGGACATGCTGCGCCCAGTCGTTCTGTGTTGCTCGGTGATTATGCAGGAACTCCGAGACATGGGAGTTTCGCTGATGAACGACCTTGAAGGACGGTACAGCGTGGAAAGGCACGGCGTGGTGAAACTCCTTGTAGATGGACTTCATGTCCTGGACGAGGTCGGACCCGTAGGATGGATGCTGTAGGAAAGGTAAGAAAAGTGGGGCAGAAGACCGGGGCAGTGGTACGCCGCGCTTCGTGCCGATGTTTGAGGCAAATGGTAGAGTGAGGCTGTGGCATGTTGGCAGCCAGTCGGCACAAAGGAGCGAAGGCCACTGACGGGAAGTTCCAGTGGTGGAGTTGGCGTTGGGCCTCAAAAGAGCGGAGGGTGTTGCTGCTGAGGTCGGTGAGGAAGGTCCAAGCGGCGATGCGTGACCTGAAAATCGGCATGTGTCTGACGGCGGCGAACCGGCCAGGGAGGTTGTTTCGGCGAAGTTTGCAGAAGAGAGTGAAGAGGCCAGTGCCTTGAACTTTGTGTAGGTGTTTTGCACGCCTGATACCTCGTCGTGGACACCACCAGGTTGAGATGTGTGGGTGGTTCAGTGCAGGTTGGAGGGACTGGATGAAAGTTTGTTCGATGGCAAGCAAAGCCTCGGTGGGCTTGGGGAAGTAGATAGGTGTGGTGGCAAAGGCAAAAAAGTTGTCGTGTTGTAGCCACCACCTTAGTGCCAGTTCAGCGCTGACCAACTTTGCTCGTTGTAGCTGTAGTAGCTTTCGGTAACGGGTGTGCTCGCGTCCGGCGGCATCGCTGTGGGTGCTGCCGATGTAGAACTTGTCCTGGAAGGCAGCAATGTCAGTGAACTTGATGTAGACGGCGTTGGGCATGATCTATACGCACATGTGTCTATGTGCATGTATATGTCTGTGTCTACGTCTATGTGTGTGTGTGTGTGGAACCTTCTCTTGCACGAAGGCGGCGTCACGGCCGGTATTGGAATGTCTGCGGTATGAACACGAGCAGGGGGACCAGGGATGCTTGACTTGGCCTGGTCCAACGAAGCTCCAAGTCTTGCATCAGGATATGGCAGAAGGACGCTTCAGCCACGTACCTGCGCTCGATGATAAGCTGTTGGTTTACCCACTGGATTCTTTGCCGTGATGTTGATGCTGTTGGTTCGTAACTAGAGTGATAGTAACTAGAGTGACACTGCCCGGACATGACCTTTGCAACTTCTCTGCATTCCAAAGTGTGTGTCGCTTGGCACGTCCGACAAGGCGCCAAGTTAGACGGGTTCCCATGCCCGGCTCCTCACTGAGGAGAAGATCTCGTTCAAAGCACCTTTTCGGCGCGAGGTACCCCCTCCCAATCAATTTGCCCCCTTGGCCACGTCCGTTCAGCGTTCCTGTTTCGTTCAGGTTCAGATTCAGCATGCAGACCCGGTCGGTTCCCCGCTTGACGTCAGGCTGCTTTTGTAGGTCTTCAGGTTTGGTTTTCGGTTTCCCGTGTTCCTACTCTTCACGTGCTCCAACTGCCAAGTGACCTCGCTACGGAGTGACTCGCACCGGATGAGTGACCTGCTGCAGTTTTTTCCTCCTCTTCAGTTGAGTTGTTTCAGCTGCGCACCACCACCGGCTTTTCTGATGGCTTCTCGACATCTACAGCAGTTCCATTCTGTCACCTCCATGTATGTCTTTCCTGGCTCCCGAGGTTCAGGACAAGCAGGTGACTTTGGATTGCGCCAAAATCCTTCATGGCCTCGTCACCACGCAGGTCCGGCGACACTGTACCTTCCTGGAGGTGCCCAGCATACTGAAAGTTTCAATCCTCCTGGAACCATCCTTCCACTTGGCTTTGAACCCACCGCGCGCCTCTACCCGGTCAACTACGTGCCCTACGCCATTCAGGTGCCAACACTTACCAACCAGCAAGCGCAAAGCAACACTCATCCCCCTGCATGCTCCAGACAGTGGTCGACCCGATGAAGCTAATACACCATCCCAGCCTGCTCCTCTGAGCCAAGATCCTCCTCGTCAGGAACCTCAGCCGGACCTTCATCGACCAGATCTCCGCCAACAAGATGCAAGCCGGCCCAGCCGACAACGAGATGACGGTCGACGAACCAGATCAGCTTCTCGGCCACAACTTGATCTTTGTCGGCTTTCAGCACGACCACTTCGATCGGACTCGCGCCAACGCATCCCACATCGTCCAGTCGTGCTCCTACCAGCTCCGGCGGTCAGAAGGTCCCGTACACGCCGGCGCTGCTAGACACCGTCACACTCCCCCATCTGGTCGGACATCCTCGCGAAGGCCTCGCCGGGCATCTCCGCTACAACATGACGCGACACATGGTCACGCACGTCGATCTCGGTCAACAGCAGGCAGCCTCCGCGGACCCCGTCAACCCGCACACCGTTCTCCTGGACTACGTCGTTCCGCGACAACACCCACCGCACCGAGCTTGCATGGCTCCCACCGGCCTCCTTTCCCCTCCCCTTCCCTGCCCTTGACCAACGAGTTGGCTACTCAGTCTACACCCGCTGCACCTCCCACACGTGCACCTTTCAGCTTGCCCCCAACGTTTGTGCAAGACTCTAACCACTTAGACACGACCGTCCAATACGGCCCCAACGTACCCAGGCGGGTAGCGGCAACCACATGGACCCAGGAACGACAAATCGCCGGCTACCCCACCGAGCAGATTCCAGTCGTCAACCTGCTGCACCACGGCTGGAAAAGCTTCTGGTTACAGCGATTATCACACGGGCAACCCGTCCATTTGGTCTGCGCTCAAGATCTTGCTGAGGTCGTCCTGCTCGCCGAGCTCAGCTCTGCTATAAGAGCGCGCCAGCTGCACATCGACGGCATCGCAGCAAATGCGGCCACGGCAGATGGTGGCGCCCTCGACGAAGTTGTTGGTGAAAAAGCTCATCCAGGTCATGGTGGACCTTCAACCCACCCCTGCCATCGACAACGATGCCCAGCAACGCATAGTTCAGTTAGAGACCCAGATCGCTCAGCTGAAGCACCAGGAGCAACAGCAGGCTTCACCCTCCGAAAATCCTTAACCGACTGTCATCGACATGCTGGCCAGTTCTGCGGCCCAGCCGGCCCCCTCCAGACCCGACCTCACTCCCACACCTGCCGATTCCCCCGGCGCACCCCCCGATCACTCCAATCTCCCCGCTCGCACCGGGTCCTTCCGTGCTCGCTCCTCCACTTCCAGATGGGACCCCAAGTGTCTCCTCGATCCTCCGAGCCAACGATCTCAATGGGTGATCCACAACTACGCAGGCACCACTAACGAAACTCAATTCAAGCAGTTCATCAAGAACCTGAAGATGCCCGCCAACAAGCGCAAGCAGCTGCAGACCATGATCGAGCAGGTCACCGCGTGGACCCCCAACATCACCGAGGAGGAGACAGGCCAATTGGAGGCAAACGCAATCTTGTGGGGCTTCCCTTCTAAGACACTTGGCAAAACACAGCCTGCCGTTCTGCACAAACTGCTGGCAACAGCTTACCTTTTTGGCAACTGACTAGCCACCATCGCCCGCACACGGCGAGTCACAGCAGCCGTCCTCCGCACAGCACGACCTTTGATAAAGGTCTTTTCACAGCTGCCCACTCTTTTACTTCCAATTTGTCTGCATGACAACGTCCACATTTTCGCATGTGGCCTGTGGGTGCAATGCCGCCTGCTCTCCGTCAACCTGCATTTTTCCATTTCCTCCATGTACATATACTATTTGCCAATATGTTCATAGGTACCCAATTGTGCTGCGTTGCATTGCATTACATGACATTGTATACACTACGCCATGTCACATCACCAAATCCTGCATGGCTGCGGGGGCATGCGGGCGCGCCTCATGCGCCCAGACCCGGAGCTGCGAGGGCCGCAGCTTGCGCAGTGCCAACAGCGCCGCTTCGCGCACGGGCCACAGCTCGTCCTTCAGCGCCACTACCACGCGGTGGGCCTCGAGAGGCAGGGCGTTTTGGGCGAAAACGAAGCATGAGGCAACTCTGGTGAACGAACGTGTGAGATTTGAGATTTTGAGAACACAACTCTGCTGACCGCCAAATGTGAAACGCTCTTTGAATTCCAGCTGTCAAACTCGGTTGCACCCCAACGGGTGCGGAGATGGGCGCATCCCAGGCACTTTGTTTGTTGGAAGAGACGATCAGCAAGAATCTGCAAAGGAAACGCAAATTGCGTCATCCCGCAACAGAGAAAGTCAAGAAACAACTAAAGTCCGTGGATAGCTTCCAAGGCAGTGCTTCTTTTTCCAACATTGCCGTTGCGTTGATGAAACAACAGTGGCTTCACCTGTTCAATCAGGTGGCAGCCAGAGGAAATATGCTCGAACCGCATTGTTGTGAAGTTGAACAAATTACTTGGTGATTTGATGGAAAAATTTGTTAGTGAACTGTTAGGGCATTCGACGTCATGCTCGATTGCTGCATAAATGGTACTGTCGTGGGAGTAAATCTTAATGATGCTCATTCACATGCACGAACGCGGCGATTAACATAAAATGTGCCATGCGTCCGCGCAACAGCCATAGCGGCTTCGTCCACCTTCCACGAATTTACCGTCACCCTCAAGGCTGGGTCTCCCTCCCGTGCCTGGTACTCCAAATCGCTGGGGTCCAGGTGGAAGAGCGCTACACACGCCGCCATTCGCACCTCCGGCGTCCGGTCCCGCAGCATGCCGGCCACCGTGTCCGCGTGCTGCACCCAGTAGATCCTGAGCTTGGGGTCCCGTGGTACCGACACTCTACGCAAGGCAATCATTTGGTGAACAGTAAAATAATCTAAGCCGAAGGACGACACCAATGCCTCAAGGCCTGTAAACAGTGCCACTCAGAATTCGGATTGGTCCACCTGGTCCACAATATCAGAGTGCTTCTCCCAAAGGTGAAGTACAGCAAGGTGCCGTCCAATCAGGGTTTACGAATCCATGGCGATACAAACATGGGCAAAAAGCATTTCAGGCGACCAGGGTGCGGCACCAGGCGCCGCATCATTAGCAGCGCGCCCTCACGGACCTTCCAGTCATTGTCGCTTAGCAGCAGCGCCAGGGCGTCGCCCTGGAATCCCGAACGAAACAAATGGGACATGGCGGACAGGGAATGGCGAATTTCACCAAAAGGAAACGGTACCCCTTTGACAACTTTACAAGGGAATCAACCCTCTGGTCCTTTGTGTTAAGAGGAAATATACAGCAAAGCTAAGGGAGATCATGATCAGCTTGGTCTAACTGGGCAATATTCTGATCATAGCGAAGCGTGCAAATACCAATCGATTTGAGTCACTGTCAAATCTCAAATGAGTTGTTACACGCAGCCAATCAGGCTGCTTGTCCACGGTGATGTCTGCATGACTCTGAGGCAAACGATCCTGGTCGCACATAGATGCGAATATGCTACGATTCCCCGCAGAATCTAGCCCAAGAGCCCTTGCTTAGGCTCCCTTCCAACGACTGCTCTTGAAAAACGGCATCAACCACCAAATTTGCAAGCCATAAAGCTCAAGCCAAAGCTTCGCTTTGGCTGGCTTTTTGGTGTGATCACTGGTCCAAACAAGTTCGAGACTAACGTCTGAAGGGCCATCCCCTGAGCAAAACTGTGGACATGGAGCTTCAACATCAGGCCGCGTCATGGCAGCCCAAGAGCTTAGAACAAGAAATACACGAGTCCCTTCGCATGATGAAATCTACTCTGGGATCATGATATTTCATGATACCTGTACTACTTTGCGGAACAAGTTCTGCAGACTCGCGTGGATTTCAATGTGACATTGCAGGGGCAGTCCAAAAATGATGCTTTTTGAGCAATATTATGACAAGTATACGTTTGAGGTCTTGTCTGAGCAATGCCGAGCTCTCGGACATGGTGTCTTAAATGCTAAAATGTGTTTGTTTTTTGTTTTTTTGTGCTGTTGGCTTCTCGCCATGTTGTGGACTATCATTGATGATGAGTCCATTCACAACATTATGCCGCAACATGCATGATAATAGAAATCGTTTAGCTGCAGCACGGAGCGGTGCAATCATGCGCATGTAAGTCTTGCTGATATCAGGGGGACGAGCATGAACTCCCGTGGCCACAGTCATTACCTGCTTGGACAGAATTGGGCCCATTTATTTTTGTGTACGTGACTTGGCATGAGCACATTCCACTGACAAATGTGAAATGACAAACACATGCTGTGTTTTGGGAAGCCAAACCTTGCATGAACAATGAACAAAATGAAAATAGCAGTAAGACAGCTGAGGGCGAGTATCATGGGTATGCGCACGGCGTATGCATGCATGCCACATACATATGTATGATGTATAATATACAGGGATGCGGAGAATTGCTGCTGTTCCTCTGAGCATGTGTGTGTGTGTGTGTGCGTGCTTGTCATGTTCGATGCCTGCATTCATCGATATCACGGTTCACTTGTCAGCGTCCGGCCCCTTCCTGCATGGGCTTCGGGTTGAAGGCCATGGTGTCACGGACACGCCAGTGAAAGGCCGGCTCGAAGCTCAGGTACTGCTCCAGCGCCCGCATGGTCTCCGAGTGCCGCCGCGGCGCCGTGCAAACGTGAGGGCTCTGCCAGCGTCGGCCTCTACAAGTTCGATACACGTCGCATGGGTATCAAAGAGCATGGGTGGTCCAGGGAACATTGGACGTAGCAAACTCCTCGTTGATACACTGGGTAATAAAGCAGCAATGTTGTTATCAACGGCGTCAAGGCCGATTCCTGTCTTCAACGCTCTGAAATGTGAGTCTGACACATGCGTGAACTTCGCAAAACGAGCTCTGCGCAGCAAAAGCCGCCATATTGGCTTGTCCCCGTCATTCTAGCATGAGCCGGCCTTGGCCTCCAGACCCTCGCGGGCTGGACTCTCTCGGCAACTCAAAGAAGGCGTTGCCCGCACCGAAGCGTGGCGTCGCATCTGGCGTGGCAGGTCGCTCCGGGGTCGAGTCCCCCTCGAAGCCGGTGCTCCGGACGCCGCCATCGTCGGTGTCCCAGAAGCCGCCGTCAAGGCTGCCAGGGCTGCCAGGACCAAGTCCGAAGCCTCCCACTCCACCGGCCATCAGCGGATTGTCACGGAGGCCCGCGTCCGGGGCGTCGAAGGCGGGCACTTCCGGGCACTGCCTGCGACGTGAGGGAGCGGAGAGGGGCCGGGACGGCCGAAACGGCCGAAACGGCTGGGCTGTACAGCGCTGGGCCACGCTGCTCCGGAGCTCATCACAGTTCATCTTCGAGACCACGTCCAAAGCGATCTGCCGCACCTGGCACTCAAAACCTAGTGCCATTGGTTTGATGGTGCGCGAAAGCGAAACTTGCCGAGTTCCAGCCAAAGTTGTACCTTTCAATCGCTCTGGCCAGCATTCTATGTGCCCAGTCCGCCCAATCCGCCGACCTCGGAGGCGGGGTCCGCCACCAGTGGCAGCACCTCACGCGCACAGGGCGCGGAGCGTCCGACCGTCCTACGCGTGCCTTCAGGCAACGTTTCCATGTCGCAACGTCGAAGGGGTCAAAGTGATTGAACGCACCTCCCCGCAGAAAACGTTTTGCTCCGTCAAAAGAGTCTTCAAGAAACAACTTGGCCGGACAGCACGAAAGGCCGAACGAGCCCAAGCCTGAAACAGGCGGTGCATGGCGGTGCACCCGCTGCACCAAACCCCTCCCCACCTCGCCCCCCTGCCTGCTCCGCGAAGGGCGCCAACTCCTTGCCGTCTCGCCGGCGCAGTGCCATCAGCACGGCCCGGCGCACCTCCTGGAGGCAACGCTTCGCGACAACCGACTCCTTGAATGAGTCTCCGCAGTGGACATCATTGGAAATGATGGATCCCAAGGCACTGCAACATGAGCTGAGCCAATTCGCCGCATCTCTCTGGACAAGGCACTGTGATCTGCTCAGCTCAGCTATGAGCATTTCTTTGCCACCCAGTTCTAGCAACTGTGCCAGGTCAAAAAACATTCGCCCCGCCATTACCTGCTTCATTAAAGCAAGATGATGTAACTTATTTTGAGGATGTGTTGGCAGACCACTGCTCCAAAAACAAAAAAGCCGACTGCCAGCATGTGACAGAGAGTATAGGCTCATGCGCTGATGGGCCAGATCCGGCAACCAAGGAAAGAGCTTAGTCCAGAGAACGAATTTACGTTGATGCGTTCAGCTCAAAGATCGTGAGCGTGACGCGTCAGAAAGGCAACCCACAGTACCAATTCACGGAACCCCAACGGTTTTGTGCTACCGACTCACCGACATGCAGCCGCGGATCCTGGGAGCCGCTGCGCAAAGCGGCGACATCCACCTCGACGTCCCCCGCGTCCACGGGAGCCATCAGGTCGAGAATGCCAGGCAAAAGAAAGCCAGGGACCCGAGGGACCCGAACAGTTCGGATGAGAAAAGCCCGTTTGCTCTGCTTGCTCTGCTTGCTCCCTAGATTGGAAGTCATCAGTTTAGTGCTTAGACATGCGGAGATAGAATGCAACCCAACTTGTTCCCAAGGGTTGCGAGGCTGGTAGCCCGACTGCAGCTATGCGACATTCCCTGTGTATACCTCTCCGACAAAAAAGAAGCAAATGTCCAAAAAGACGCTTTGGCACAGTTAAATAACGAGCATACAAATTCGAAAGGATCGTGCAAGCTTGGCCTCAGCGCTGGGATGATCAGACCTTATTTCTGTGGATAGCGGGGGGGGCAAGGCTATGCAGAGAAGCTGGGCAAGCCACGAGTAGCTCTCGCTGCTCGAGTTCCAGCCGGCTGGAAGCACCTGCATGGACACTGCGCCTCAGGGCGACTGCCAGACCAGTGCATGACAGTAAGACCATCGATAGGCTGCAAATCTTTGACTGATCGGGCCCCGATTGCAATTTTGAGCCCCCTCCGTCGGGCCCCGATTTTGCCGTCGGGCCCCGCCCAGTCTTGCTTCTCAGCAGCACCGGCGGTGAGGGCGTTTCCGCAAGGATTCTGGGAGGGTGTGGTATTAGCTGATCTATCTATATATCATTCTAGATATTCATTTATCTATCTAATTAATCTACTTATTTATCTACCCGTCTAGCTAGGTAGCTGGCTAGTTATTGACTTGTTTTTTTCCTTTTTCTCTATCTATGTATTTTTTTGTTGTTTCCTTCTTTCATTTTGTTTTCTTGTTTGTTTATGCCTGTTTATATATATATATGTATTTATTAGCTTGTTGTTTTATTTTCTTTTTGTGTCCATATTTCTTTTTTTGTATGCTATGTATTTATAATCTATCTATGTATTCAGCTGGCTATCTATTTATCGACCTTCTTATTTATTTGTTTAATCTATTTAGCTATTCACTAGGTTTACCTCATTATTTATCTAGCTATCTAACAATGTAAGCATCTATCTTGCTACATACGACATACGATTTTTGGCTTGTCCGGCAAGCTGTCCGACAACGGTCTCGGACGGCTTCGGAATGGTCTTGGAGTGGGGTGCATTGTAGATGATTTGGTGACAGGAGCAGCATTTTCTTGCTTCTGGCACAAATCCCATTTACAGGGATGCGCAAGGTGGCGCATGCGCATTTTGTGGCATACAGATTTTTTGGGCGGGGTAGCATTTTCGCAAGGTCAAACACAGATTTTGTGGCAGGGTAGCATTTTCGCAATCAAATTCATATTCCGTGGCAGGAACAGCATTTTCGCAAGGTCAAATACAAATTGTGTGATAGGCGCAACAATTTCGCAAGGTGAGGAAGAGATTTTGTAGCAGTCGCAATATTTTCGTGATCGAAAATATAATTGTAATTGCAGCTCGAAAATGACTCGCATCGATGACTTGATGCAACACGTCAGGGCATCGCATGCCCCTTGCAACTGCAAGCCTACGCATTGCTTCGCAGAGCCAAGACTGTTGCTGAGATATGGCGAGGGGGAGGGCTTTGCAATTGGAAAGAAACACCCTGGGAGAAAAGCAAGCACCATGAAGCATGCTTTTGGCCTATACAACCCGAGATCGCCTCAAACCGCCTCAAGCCCCGTCTTGCCTGCAAACATAGCATAATGCAGCCAGACCGAAACCACCCTGGGGCTCCAAGCCATCAGGTGCAGCCGCGAGGACCTGACCACCCACACCAACAGAACACGAAAAGCTTTGGGTTTATGTTTCAGCTTTGCAGTGGATCGAATGTAGTGGCTTAAGCTTTGCCTGGCACAACCAGTGGACCAAGGAATGTTTAAGACGGCTGCCTGCTCACTTCCGAGGCACCCCCGGCCCATTTGTCAAATCGGCATGCTGTTGGCCAGCGTTGGGATGCTAACATCTAGCCAAATCATTGGACAATGATTCTAGTTCAGGCTTCTTTGGATAGGTGTCCCTTGCAACTCCCTCGGTGTAGTTTCTATGGCGCCTGGGTTGCCAATGCTGCTTTTGGCCACCCAAAGGTTTCACTGAACGAGCCACTAATCCTTGCTTTCTCAACGCAATTTGGGCAAAACGGATTCCACAAGGAAAATGCTCAACCCATCAAATCTCTTCCAACCTGCAAAGTTGAGCTGGCCATATTATTTTGCGAGCTCAAGCCGGACTTGACGCCTCTCTGGCACAAATACTCTCCGCGAACCTTCTGCTGAAAGGCCAGCTCTCAAGTCGCAAAATCACTCTGGAGCACATGTTGCCTGGGCCCCTGGCTGGAGCACTGGAGCTGGTGCTGCATACAAAGCCGTGCCTCGAACGCCCAGGTGGATACGTTGTCAAGCCATGTCACGGCCTGCGCTTGAAAACTCACACGGAAACCGACAAAGGGTCTGCAAGTGGAAAGGCCTTTATGAAGAGCGCTCGCCACACCACAGGAACCAATCCGTGCCAATGAACGCAAAGGGGCTCACTTCTCGAAATCGGTCCCCAGGGTGCAAAATGAACGGTCGAACGGTAAGGTTTATGGGGGAGATGACCCGATGACCCGATGACCCGAAGCCACAGCCTTGGGCCCCAGCGCCAACATGGTGCTGTGCACTGCCAAGGCCGCTCGGTCTAGCTCGCCGCGCACGGGCCTCATTGACTCATGGCAAGGCATGGAGATGTTCGGGTCTGGGCCATGTGGGAGCATAGAATCAATTTTGTTTGAGGAGGCTCTCAGAGGTGATAAATCAAGAGAAAGTGGTTGTCTCTCCACCACAAAAACCCCAGCATTCGTGGTTCTTGTGAAATGCCTTGAAACAAGATGTGGATGCTCTCCAATGCCACTTATACCTGGCAACTGAAAGAATGCCTCCAGGTCCTGACCGAGCAGTCCATCCCCCAGAGCTTGTGCCACCTGCGATCTGTTGTCTTTACCTTTGACAAAGGCAGTCAAGCTGGAGAGGAAAATAAAACAAGGCCCCTTGGCTCTGAGAAGCTGGCAGGAAGAGACTAAAAGTCAACAAAGACCCTACGGAACCAAGTCTAACTCATCATTGCAGCTCCTCAATACGCGGATGTTGGTTACCCCGCCTTGCTGGCAAAAAGCTGCTGAACATGGCAAGCACTCCAAAATGGCAGCCCGAGCCAAACCGCTTGGTTGAGATGGACTGGTCTCCGGTCAAGGCAGTCCAAGCATCCCATCGACCGCCCGTTTCGTCTTGGAGGCCCGGCACAGCGCCCAGGAGGGCAGGCAGCATGGCCTCAGTGCTTTGAAGCGAGTCTCCCGCCTCTGTTCCCTCTCGCTCGCTTCTTGGGCAGAAGGCCGATCTCGGTTCAAAGTCGCGGATTGAGAAGTTCCGAAATCCAAACGTCCGCCAATATCTACGCTCGTGGCCTCAACTCAAGCCATCTGTTCAAGGAGCAACCCAAAAATGGACAACCCAAGCAGTTCATCGGTCTCTTCGCCATGAATGCCTCGACTGAGCCGCCCAGCTCTTGGGAGTTGCTCTCGGAAGTCAACTGTGCAATCCAGCAGCTACTCTCTGTACAATGGTCTGCCACCTCTAACTAACTCACACTTGGAGCAGCATGTTTATGCCCACATGGCAAAGTGCAGAGGAAATTCTAAGCAACGTGGCAAGCTGCAAGGCTGGCAGATTCTTTTCCACTCACATTCGCCAGCAATAGCACACTGCAACACTGCAGCTGGGCATCAAGTGCCGAAAAGCGCCATGACCAGCGCAAAACCATAGGCATCCAGGCGGCCGAAACAGCAATCGATGCCATCCCTACAGTTGGTCCCGAAATACTGTATTGCTGGGAATGCCTGTACCCCTCCAAAGCAAGAAACTGCGCTTCTTGCTCAAAGCGAAAACTACCCAAGATTTCCGCATCAAACATAGGCAAGCATACCCAGCCCTGACGCACACCAGAACCTATGAAAACTGCTGAGGGCAGCTTCCACTTAGAGCTATACACATGCAAGTTCACCACTCCTTCTCAGTGACTGCGCGCCGAGTCTGCTCAAGGAATCTCATGGAGTATGAGGCGTCCAGGATACCTTCACAAATGGCATGGGAATGAAACGCGGTGATTCTTTAACTTGGTCATGAGACAATGACCAAAACCATGGAAAACACCCTGCTTTGGCACATTCAATGGATTCGGTCCACACATCACATCCCCTTCATCTAACAAACATGTCCACCGACTGCTCTCATAGCAATCAAGGATGACTTGCACTCGTCACTGAATGCCAAGTGCAGCACTGGGTTCCCCACGCTCCCCTCCCGCGCGCCTAGAGCTCAGCAGACACATGCAGAACTTGGACCTGAGGCAGGGGACAATTCTTGGGCCCAAACCTTGTCTCACCCGGCCAAAGGAGTTGGTGAGAGAGAGAGAGAGGGGAGAGAGAGAGAGAGAGAGAGACAGAGAGAGAGAGAGAGGTTGTTAAACGGTCAATCGACCACTAAAAACAGCACCCATGTTTTCGGACTCCATGTTCTCTTAGACCTCCTTGCACTGCTTACCCAGCGGTTGAAACAGCCTGTGATTCTTGTTCTGCGCCACTGCTGAACTCTTGAGCGTGTGCTCTTGTCATTTGTAACATTGAAGCCCAGAGAGTTTAAACGAAAACATAAAGATGACAAACAAGGCTCAAAACGCTGGGCGCGGTACAGGCACCGACACCAAAAGCATGCCCGAACCAGGGTGAGGCCGTTGGGTCCTTGAATGTACATTTGATCAGGGCCATACATAACCATGGGATGCATTTTGATTACACCACAATCGACCACCCACTCACCATGCAAGTGACGTGGTCGCACTCACAAGACTATGTATTCAGCTCCAACGCGAGGAAAAACCCATAGCGGCATTTTGCTCCAGATGTTCCGTGTGGTTTGGTCGAATGCATGCAAATGCATGCAGTAGATTCAGTAGATTCAGTAGATTCAGTAGATTCAGTAGATTCAGTAGATTCAGTAGATTCAGTAGATTCAGTAGATTGAGAACGTGTTCGCAAATCTGCGCATGAGGCCCTGGCTGAGGGCAGTGGCCCGTCTACGCCCAGAGGCCGCCAGCCGTCGCCGGGCACAGCGGTGTTCGGAGCCTCCGCGGAGCCCGGGTCCATAGAAACAAAGCTGATGGAATTGAAGGCGGGACTGAGCCGATTGGCCGATTGGCCGATTGGCAATAGCGGGAGCCTTGCCCGGTGCCTGAAAACACATCTCAGAAACTGCACTTGGATCCAACGCATGTTCTTGGTGCGCCAACATGGCATTACAAAGAAGGTGCCGACTTGGAAAAGACTTCACCAACCTCACTTCAGGCCCCCACAAACACGTCCCCTTTGAGTCAGGTCGGACCGTGCCATGAAGTGTACGCTCACAGCTTTGTCTGTGGAGGGAAGAAAGCAAGACGTTGACCCAGAGGCGGTCAACTCCAGGCTTGACAGCACCATCTCCGCCTTGGTGATGTACACTCCTTTGCCATCGGGTGCGTCGATCCACCTTAGCTGCACTGTGTTGGCTCACAGGAATGCAAGGTCTTTCGCTATCTTCGGTGGATTCCACCTTGCGTCCAAGCTGCCACTGACCATCACCCTGGTTCCAGTAAATGTAGGCACCTCACGCAGCTAACATGTGCCACCAGCAACAACTGCCATGACCAGAAATGCGGCCATTGCCATGGCCAAAGCTTTTAAATGTACCTTGTATGTGTCTGTTGCTACTTTTGATAGAAGACTCCACCCTTGTGCATCTATTTCGCTGACACCGTCGGGAAAGGTAACATTTGCATGGCATGTGGACCGACTCTGGAGGCCATTTGACACTGAATTGGCTTGCTTTTCCATGCTTGTGCTTGGGAGGGGGTACCTGGTGATGCTAGTGATGGAAGAGCAGCTCCGCAGAAAAACAAAGAAATCAAGCTCTGTGCATCTATGCCATGAGTCCAGCTGACATTTGCACGGGTGTGTTTCTGTTGTTGTCTGTGCCTGTGCCTGTTTTGGGGGGCTTTGCGCGTCAATAGAATAATTTGCGAACGATTCAAAAAAATGGCTTAGATGTGATACATGCGTATTCAATCATTACATCTATGTTATTGAAGATGCTGACAACAGTAGCATTTGTTCTATACAAGTGTAAGGGTTCTGTATATATATATATATGTATGTATGTCCATGGCATTTGTTTCTCAATTTGAACGACTTTAGCTTCACAAATATCTGGCAAATGGGTGGCGCCAGAAACTAAGTTGGCACATAATATATACATAGTACTGGGTAAAATATCTGACGGGTCTATGATGGCTGCATAGTGGGTTCATGGGCGAGCATTTCCTCCTTAGGGTCCAATTGAAAGTCAGGGCCAAGCCCCTACCTGCTATCGACACCTGGAGGGAAGGAAACATGGCGATCGCTTCCCATGACCACACCGACAAATTCAACGGACCTAACGGACCCGCGATGCTCCACAAGGTGACCCGCTTTGGCGATCCTTCCTTCTGAGGTGCAAACCATTCTCTGCCTCGTATCAGGGGGTCTTCTGTTCGCTAAGCTGAAGCCACCTCTCAGTCTCGGTCATCTCAGCTATCTCCAAATGTCAACGATCACAGAAAGATTCACAAAAGGAGTGCCCTTTGCTGGTCAACAAAGCAAGCTCCTTGGACATGGAGCCGTCTACGGAAGCCCTCTGAGTGTTGTTGTTTTATTTGCCGTCCAAGCCCCCGCTATATCCGTGCAACTTCCTGGATGAGCTACTATCCTTGCTATGTCCAATGCTGCACAAGTGAACTTATCAGTCTGTCAATACCCTTGACATTGTCCAGGTTGTTCCTGTTCGGTCACATAGGTTCAGAACACAGCCTTCAAGCCAACTTGACTGTACCAGCTCTCAAATTTAGTTGTGGGATCAACAATGTTCTTTTCAGGTGTGAAAGCCTTCAAAAATGTCGAAGTCAAGCCATTGACAGCTTGCAATGAGTGCCAAAGGGGTGAAACAACAACTTGTATTAACTGACCATACTCTTGGAGTTTGATTAGCGGCTCCAACTTCAAAGGGGCACGAGAGCTCAACGTAAACGGCAATTTTGCAAGTACACAAGCTTTGGTCTCCAAGGAAGTGGCTTGCAGGCTGGATTTCTAGAAGCTAATCCTCGTGCCGCAAAGCTTCTAGTGCTCAAGCAGAGTTCAAAGTATCCACGAGTTGAGGTATCTGTTTGTGGCGAGCTTCCACAAATCTGGCTCAAGAGCTGACAGTGACCAACCAAATTTTCAGCATGTTTTTGCACATCATGCCTTCCGAGCCTACAACCTACAAATGGCAAACATGCAAATTGGCTGTATGCTTCTTGGTACTAATGTTGACCTACGATTAGTAAATATACCATAAATAATGCTAACCGATTTCCCGAAAAAATAATAAATATACCATAAATAATACTAACCGTTTTCCCTGGTGAAAAATATGAAAAGATGACAAAATAATACAAACTAATTCAACAAAATAACCTTCCCCCCACATGAATGAATGAATTCTCAGTTCTCCAGCTCACAAAAGAACTCTAGAATTCCCATTGGGATCCATGCAAAATGCATATTTTTTATTCAGGGTCAGTGCTCCCAACCCTCATCCCCCACGAGATTTGCATGGTTTTCATGGTGAATTTATCCAGGGATCATGCCAGGCAAACCTGAGTTACCATGGGATTCGCATGCTTTTGGCATCTAATCTTTATTCAGGGTCACTGCTCCAAACCATCATCCCCCACAAGATTCAATTTATCCAGGGATCGTGCCAGGAAACGCGACCGACCAGGTTTGCATGCTTTTGGCATCTAAACCATCATTCCCAATGCAATTTGCATTCATAGTGCATCATGCAAGAAAAAACCTGATTTATCATGGGATTTGCACGCTCAGGGCCAGTGCTCCAAACCATCATCCCCCATGGGATTTGCATTGTTTCATAGTGAATTTATCCAGGGATCATGCAAGAAAAAACCTGGCACGGTTTTTATTCAGGGTCAGTGCTCCCAACCATCATCCTTCATTGGATTTGCATGGTTTTCATAGAACATGTATCCAGGGATCATGCCAGAAAAACCTGATTCACAATGGGATTTGCATGCTTTCGGCATCTAATCTTTATTCATGATCCCCCATGGGATTTGCATGGTTTCATAGTGAGCTTATCCAGGGATCATGCCAGGGAAACCTGATTCATAGGATTTGCATGCTTCTGGCACTGTTTGTAATTCAGGGTCAGCACTCCCAACCCTCATCCCTCATGGGATTTGCATGCTTTTCACATTGACCCTGGCTGCAAGGGTACCCCCCATGAACCCTGATGCACTAAATAATAACCAGACCCTGAACAACGCTAACCGCATTCCCCCGTCAAAAAAATCGATATGATCCCCTTATCTTTATTCATGATCAAGCTTTCCATTCCACTTGGCTCATCCCACACTTGATTCTAAATTTATCCCAAATCCACAATTTTTTGGGATGCCTTTCTTTTAAGATTCCTTTGAAAAAAGCCATCAAAATCAACACATTGACCCTGGCAGCAAGGGTGCCCCCAATGAACCCTGATGCACTAAATAATAACCAGACCCTGAATAATGCTAACCACATTCCCCCATCGAAAAAACCGGTGTGATCCCCTTATCTTTATTCACGGTCATCCCACACTTGATTCTAGATTTATCCCAAATCCACAATTGTTATGGGATCCCTTTCTTTTAACATTCCTTTGAAAAAAATATCAAAATCAACACATTGACACTGGCAGCAAGGGTATCCTTCATGAACCCTGATGCACTAAATAATAACCAGACCCTGAATAATGCTAGCCAGATTCCCCCTATCAAAAAAATCGATATGATCCCCTTATCTTTATTCATGGTCAAGCTTTCCATTCCACTTGGCTCATCCCACACTTGATTCTAAATTTATCCCAAATCCACAATTTTTTGGGATGCCTTTCTTTTAAGATTCCTTTGAAAAAAGCCATCAAAATCAACACATTGACCCTGGCAGCAAGGGTGCCCCCAATGAACCCTGATGCACTAAATAATAACCAGACCCTGAATAATGCCAACCAGATCCCCCCATCAAAAACATCGATATGATCCCCTTATCTTTACTCATGGTCAAGCTTTCCATTCCACTTGGCTCATCCCACACTTGATTCTAAATTTATCCCAAATCCACAATTTGTTGGGATCCCTTTCTTTTAAGATTCCTTTGTAAAAACCATCAAAATCAACACATTGACCCTGGCAGCAAGGGTATCCCCTTGCACTGAATAATAACCAGACCCTGAATCACGCTAACCCGATTCCCTCTTTAAAAAAGAACTGATCCCTCCAATTATCTACATTTGATTCAGCAAGTTCAATCCATGAATCATCGCTCAATGATGACTGGCTGCAACGCTGGCCAAGCTAATGGTCACTGAACCCTAAGGAAATTGATGCTCAACACCTCCTGAAACGCATGCACATCCATGCATATATCATGAATGTCATGCTGAACCCCTCCTGGGATGCACGCTAACCCATGCAAAATCTAATGATTTTCATGCTGAATCCCTCTTGAAATGCATGCTAACCCATGTAAACCCTCATGAAATTGATGCTGAACACCGACTGAAATGAGTGCAAAATCCACGCTCCTGAGATGCATGATAACCCATACAAAACCTAATGATTTCCATGCTGAACCCTTCTTGATGCATGCTAACCCATGCAAAACCCTCATGAAAATGATGCTGAACACCCCCTGAAATGAATGCAAAATCCTTGCACACCCTCATGCATGCCGTGCTGGATGCCTCCTGGGGCGCATGCTAAAACATGCAGAACCCCTCTTGAAATGCATGCTAACCCATGTAAACCCTCATGAAATTGATGCTGAACACCTACTGAAATGAATGCAAAATCCACGCACACCCTCATGAATGTCATGCTGAATCCTGTCTAAAACGCATGCCAACCCATGTAAGTCCTAATGGATTTCATGTTGAATGCCTCCTGAAATGCATACTAACCCACGCAAGCCCTCATGAATGAATGTCATGCTGAACCCTTTCTAAAATGCATGCCAACCCATGTAAATCCTACTGGATTTCATGTTGAATGCCTCCTGAGATGCATACTAACCCATGCAAACCCTCATGAATGGCATGCTGAATCCTTTCTAAAATGCATGCCAACCCATGCAAATCCTCATGGGTTTCATGTTGAATGCCGCCTGAAACGCATGCTAGCCTATGCACATCTTAATGCACTTCATGCAAAAGTTGTTGGCCCAATACAACTTTAGAATTTGCCCAAAACTAAATTAGAATCCACCCGAAAAACATGCCCAATACAATTTTTGAACCGGCCAACGCAAACACTTTTGGAATCCGTCTTGAAATACATGCCTGCCAACGCAAACCGTTCCTGGAATGCATGCCAGCCCACGCAAACCCTCATGAATTTCCTTCTCAATATGTCTTGGTAAACATGCCAGCCCATGAATGCCCTTCTCAACCCCTCCTAGAATGCGCCAGCCCATGCAAACCCTCATGAATTTCCTTCCCAATCCCTCCTGGAATGCATGCCAGCCCATGCGAACCCTCATGAATGTCCTTCTCAATCCCTCTTGTAATGCAAAACCCTCATGAATGTCCTCCTAGAATGCCTGCCAGCCCATGCAAACCCTCATGAATGTCCTTCCCAACCCCTCCCAGAATGCATGCCAAGCCATGCAAACCCTCATGAATTTCCTTCTCAATCCCTCCTAGAATGCCTGGCAGCCCATGCAAACCCTCATGAATTTCCTTCTCAATCCCTCTTGGAATACATGCCAGCCCATGAAAACCCTCATGAATGTCCTTCTCAACCCCTCCTAGAATGCATGCCAGCTCATGCAAACCCTCATGAATTTGCTTCTCAATCCCTCCTAGAATGCCTGGCAGCCCATGCAAACCCTCATGAATTTCCTTCTCAATCCCTCTTGGAATACATGCCAGCCCATGAAAACCCTCATGAATGTCCTTCTCAATCCCTCCTAGAATGCATGCCAGCTCACGCAAACCCTCATGAATTTCCTTCTCAATATGTCTTGGAATACATGCCAGCCCATGCAAACCCTCATGAATGTCCTTCTCAATTTCTTTTAGAATGCATGCCAGCCCATGCAAACCCTCATGAATTTCCTTCTCAATATGTCTTGGAAAACATGCCGGCCCATGCAAACCCTCATGAATGCCCTTCTCAACCCCTCCTAGAATGCGCCAGCCCATGCAAACCCTCATGAATTTCCTTCCCAATCCCTCCTGGAATGCATGCCAGGCCATGCGAACCCTCATGAATGTCCTTCTCAATCCCTCTTGTAATGCATGCCAGCCCATGCAAACCCTCATGAATGTCCTCCTAGAATGCCTGCCAGCCCATGCAAACCCTCATGAATGTCCTTCCCAACCCTCCCAGAATGCATGCCAAGCCATGCAAACCCTCATGAATGTCCTTCTCAATCCCTCCTAGAATGCCTGGCAGCCCATGCAAACCCTCATGAATTTCCTTCTCAATCCCTCTTGGAATACATGCCAGCCCATGAAAACCCTCATGAATGTCCTTCTCAACCCCTCCTAGAATGCATGCCAGCTCATGCAAACCCTCATGAATTTGCTTCTCAATCCCTCCTAGAATGCCTGGCAGCCCATGCAAACCCTCATGAATTTCCTTCTCAATCCCTCTTGGAATACATGCCAGCCCATGAAAACCCTCATGAATGTCCTTCTCAACCCCTCCTACAATGCATGCCAGCTCACGCAAACTGTCATGAATTTCCTTCTCAATCCCTCTTGGAATACATGCCAGCCCATGCAAACCCTCATGAATGTCCTTCTCAATCCCTCCTGGAATGCATGCCAGCCCATGCAAACCCTCATGAAATGCATGCAAAGATTCTTGGCTCAATACTACTTTAGAATTGGCCCAATTCTAAACTAGTATTCCCCCAAAGCAAAATAAGAAAAAACAACATGCCCAATACTACTTTTGAATTGGCCCAATTCTAAAGTAGTATTCGAAAACCAAAAAAGAACAGAGCCCAATACTAAACTCCTTTAAACAAAGCCCGACCCTGAAAATTCTCCCCTAATCTTTATGGTCATTCAGGGGGGGGGCCCTATTTATTAATCAGAGGTCAACATTAGTCTGCTCAGGTCTACTCCGGGCCCGGGCTCCCTTCGTGGCTCGTCTGGGGCCCCAGCATCTTCTCCGAGTCCCAGCGCTGCTCGCTGCAGGTGAGGCTGAAACCTACCGGGATCACCTGGCGAGCAAAGCGAAACCCACTGGCACCGGCGAGGTTGCAAACCGGTTCACCTCAAACTTGAATTTGTCAGGATTGCCCCAAATCCGCACTCAAGATTCAATTAGCTAGTCTATTGGTGTTTTCGCTGGGTGAGTCCCACCGGCATTTGGAATGTGTCCCCAGCAGGCAACGATTTGCTCCACCAACATGCGAGTCTCGTCCAGCGGCTCACAAGAATGTGAATCACTGCGTCAACTCCTCATGCTGCCCACTCTGACAGACACAAGGAGATACAAAAACTCGAAGTGTCTTGAACAAGTGCTGGTTGCATGTTGTTGTAGACGATCGCACCCTAGCCCGACCCCCACGTCTGCATCGGTCTACCAACTGTTGACAAGCAGCTAACGCTGCGGTCTCTCCTGGCATGGGAAATTCCTCTGATGCTGAAAGGCATGTCGTCCAAAGCTCAAGCAATGCCCGCAGCTGCCTTCGGATCCCTCTCTGTGTACATGGCATTCACACTCTCCACGCCAGAGTTCGAGACACCTCGGGCCAACATCGGGTGAGCGAGGGATAAGCTTTGCAATCCACTCCCACCAATGTCCATCGATTGCTTGAGCAATGCCAGTGAACGCAGTCACGCACCTCTCTTAAAAAGGCGGCACCGCAGCGCACTGGGTCGCCCACGCAGTTGGGCTAGCGAAGGTCGAGGTTTGCTGGAGTACCTCCCAACCACTCAGCCAAGGACCTCTAACTTCATATCCGAACAAGCCCCTTGTCAGAGATACGAGATAACTCTGATGCGAGCTGATCCTGCTGGACATTTTTAGGTTTTCCAGGGCAGTCTTGTCCCCCTGCATCACCCAATGGCCTGCATGAGCAACACGTCGCATATCAAACTACATTGTGCCACAATTGAGTTGCTGCGGGCTAGGGGGGTTTTAGGCCTTCTTTGAGCTTACTTAGGGAGGGCCTGGCAAAGGTCCGACATCGGGGTTGCCCAAATGCGTTGCCCCAAAGCCACCGCAAACCTGTACAACCCTCGTGGCTTGGATGAACGGGAATGTGCTGATGTAGTGCAAGACGAACAAAAGAGCCTTTTCTTTCTGCGCTGAACAGCTTAAGGTTTTGAAATTCGGCTTGGTGGGCGAGGCACTCGGCAATGACTGCCATGACCTCCCTTGCTCGTGAGTCCTGCGAAGGCATAGGCAGGTCCGAGCTCTTAGTTCATTTTAAGGCAACATGCAATCGAAATCTGAGCAGACTTGATATCCGCGCCACAAAAGAACAAGCATCTAAAAGGGCACACCCAGATTTGGGCACAAGATACGGTTTGTACGCGCTCGCTCACCTGGGCAATCTCCATCGGCGTAGCTCGAGCCTCCATGCCGAGTGCCACATTCTTCTTTCAACTCCCATTCACGGCATTCCCCCCTAACCATGAATTTGCATCATTCCAGAGTCTCAGTCTTCAAGCCGTGCTGCAACTAGCCATCCAACTGCCCGCATCCGATCAGGTGTTCACCTTCCAAATATCGTCCAAGAAGTGGAAAGTAGGCTTCCTTTTGAGGCAACGATGAATGTGTGCATATATACATATATATGGTCCCGTGTTCCGTGTTGCTACCCCCCCCCATATGGTATGGGTCTCCCAGGACCCCCCCCCCGGATCCTGGCACCTACGGTCCCACCCCCACCCCGACCCCCTGAACTCGCACCCCGACACCCCGGCACCCCCACCCCCAGGACAAGCCAACCCGCAACCAACCATAAACCAACCCTAAACTTCCCCTAAACCAACCCTAAATACACCCTAAACCAAACCCTAAACCGTAGACCTCTAAACCTAAACCAACCCTAAATCAACATAAACCAACCCTAAACTAACCCTAAACCAACCCTAAACTAACCCTAAACCAACCCTAAACTAACCCCAAATACACCCTAAACCAATCCCTAAACAATAAACCCTAAACCTAAGCCAACCCTAAACCAACCCGAAACTAACCCTAAACCAACCCTAGACCAAACCCTAAACCGTACACCTCTAAACCTAAACCAACCCTAAACCAACCCTAAACCAACCCTAAACTAACCCAAAACACACCCTAAATATACCCTAAACCAATTCTAAACCACCACAACCCAACCACAGGACCACAACCACGGGGGGGGGGGGGGTACTTGTCTGACCCATGACCATTGGTGGGGGGGGGGGGCTGGCAACGCTGTAATATATATATATATATATATATATATATGGTAGGGGGGGGTGCATATATATATATATATACTACCCAAAAGCACTTTCCCGCAGCATACTTTCCAAAGGTAACCACCAGGCACCGCTTCACTTGACTTCTTGCCCCGGTCCAGTGAATGACTCTCTGAGGGCTCTGGCTCCCCAGAGAGAAAAGAGTGAGTCCCGCTTCCGCTATCCCATCTCTTCAATTGCCTCCAACCGGAAGTATCACCACCCTGCACTTTCAGCAGAACATGGGAACGTAAAGGCAAATTTCAAAGGGCGACCAAAGCACAGCATCCGACGCAACACGTTGGGCAGCCGCGCCTGGCCCCGGTTGGAAGGGTCTGCCTTGGCCTCCAGCAGCGTGCGGGCGCCAACTGGCAGGTTGTTGGAAGCCATGCGGTGCAGCGGCGTCATGCCGTAGGTGTCCAGGGCCTCCACCTGGCGAATTCGGGAAAAAGCAAACTGCAGCCATCCTCTTTGGGCTGAAGAACAGGACTTTGGGATGTCCGTTTGTCTGTCGGACATACTGTTTTGGACCCTTTGCAATGCAGAAAATGAAGACGAATGGAGCTGAACTGAACACTCCATCCTTCATCTCTGGTGGCAATCATGCTGCCCAGGACCAAGAATGGCTCACATGTTCACTCAGTCCGCTCCCCATCCAGTCTGATATCAAAGAGCACAAGCAGAGAGAAACAAGCTATGCAAAAAGCTCTCCACTGCCGCCCGGCCACCCAGCCCGTGCGAACGGGCCTTGGCACCGCGCCTGGCAGGGCAAGGCCAATGCGATACAAAGCACTCCTCGCGTGGAATCTGCTCCAGCCTGTCGGCAAAGAAGGCGCACATGCCGGGAGGTCTTAATCAGGTACTCCGTGGCATGCTGGTTGTCCCGACCTTGGCAGGGTGACCATACACCCAGAAATTAGCTAAGTCCAAGGGGCCTGTGTAAGGAGGATCTGAAGATGCGCACGTGTGTGCGTACGTGCGGGACGCGCGTGCGCACGTGCAGGGCGCACGTGCGTACGCGCAGGGCGCGCGCACGCGCGCGCGTGCGTGCGTGCGGGGCGCGCGCGCGCGTACGCGCGGGGCGCGCGTGCGTACGCGCAGGGCGCGCGCACGCGCGCGCGTGCGTAAGTGCGGGGCGCACGCGCGCGTACGCGCGGGGCGCGCATGCGTACGCGCAGGGCACGCGTGCGTGAGCGCGGGGGGCGCGCGCCGGCGTGCGCGCAGGGTGCGTGGGGCGCGCATCCGTGCGCGGGGCACGCGGCCATGCGGGGGAGGCGCGCGTGCGTGCGTGCGCGCGGGGAGCGCGCATGCTCGCCGGGCGACCAGGTGCGTGCGCGGGTGTGTGCGGGTCGCACGCGCCGGCGCGCGGGCGTACGTGCGGAGAGGCCGGCGCACGGACACGCGTGCGTGCGCGCGTGTGCGTGATTTCCAAGGCACTTCTAGAATCCGCCAGCCTCTCTGCTTCCTTTTCTCAAGCTCACTCCAGAGCGGAGTAGCGTGTTTTTTTTTGGTTTTTGTTTGCGGTCGCTGTGAACTTCGGATGGATTCCTGGTGCCCCTGGTCCCAGGACCAGTCCTAGCCGATTCTAGTCCTGATTTGCGTATTGGCTGGACAAGCTGTTTGATTTGCTTGAAAAAAGCAGGACGGGTTGGGCGAGCCATACTTTTTCCTTCAGGGGGAGCTAGGAGTGGACGATGTTTTGCTTGCCCTGAGCCCATCCTGAAAAGGACGGGTTGGACCGGCTGGACAAGCTGGCTTTTTGCCCGTCTTGATTTTGCTCAAAAAACAGGACGGTTGGATGAGCAACACTTTTTCCTTGACTGGGCGAATTTCTGCCCTGGTTTGCATGGAAAACAGGACGGGTTGGGCCGGCTGGACAAGCCGTTTTTTCCCATCCTGATTTCTTCGAAACCAGGACTGGTTGGACGAGCAACGCTTTTTCCTTCAGGCCCAAACTAGGGGTGCAATGGCGACGTTTTTTTGCTTGTGCTGAGTGCTGAGCCCGTTCTGATGGACGGGTTGGACGCGGCAAACCCGTCCTGAATTGAACAACAGGATGGGTTGGATCAGTCTCAACTAGGAGTGGACGATGTTTTTGCTTGTCCTGAGCCCGTCCTGATTTGCCTGGAAAACAGGACGGGGTGGGCCGGCTGGGCAAGCTATTTCTTTCCCGTCCTGATTTGCTCGAAAACAGGACTGGTTCGACGAGCAATGCTTTTCCTTCAGGCTCAACTGGGGGAGTGGGGCGGACGACGTCTTTGCTTGTCCTGAGCCTGTGAGGACGGGCGTGATTTGCTCGAAAAACAGGGCGCGCTTTTCCTTCAGGCTCAACTAGGAGTGGGCGGCGCTTTTGCTTGTCCTCGCATTAGCTCGGAAAGCTTCTGCATTGCTTCACAGTTCTTAATTAGAAGTAGTTATTCCGGGTCCTGATAGCAGACGGGCTGCGATTTGCTCGAAAAATTTGACGGGTTCGACGAACAAGAGCAATAGGGCGGGTTGGGCAAGTTCTGAAACGCGATCCGGGAAACAGGAAAGGTTGGACCAGCTGTGGTTTCTTGCGTGCTTTTTACCCGTGTTTTGGCCAGGAAGCCGCACAGCTTGGGCGAGCTGTGATTTTTTGGCCGTCTTGATTCGCCGGAGAAGCGGGACGGGTTGGACTAGCCCTGATTTCTCACCCGTTCGGTTTTGCGGGGAAACAGGACGGGTCGGACGAGCTGCGATTCTTTATACCCTGTTTCTTGCCGGTCCTGATTCTGACCAAGAAACAGGCCGGGTTCTTTTCCTGAGTTGTTCGACGCGCTGCGCTTTCTTACCCGCCCGGATTTGCCCACGAAACAGGACGGTTGGACGTGGTCTGATTTGGACGACCATGGTTTTTTGCCCGAGATGCGATTTCTCACCCGCACTGCTTTGCGGGAAACGTTTGCGGATGCAGCTCGAGTTCGGGGAAGGCGCAAAACACTGCAAAAAAACCCTAGCATCCCGGCAGCGTCGGCAGCGTCGCCGCCTCGCAACCCCTGCGCGCGCATCGCCTGCATCACCTGCGTCGCCCGCATTTGCGCCGCGTTCGGAGCCAGCCTTCCCCGAACCAGTCTTGATGGGGCGGGCGCGCGCTCTCATCCATCGCCCACCCACCCAACCCACCCACCCCACCCACCCCACCCACCCCACCCACCCCACCCACCCCACCCACCCACTCGCCCCCACTCGCCCCCCACCCGCCCACCCCCAGCCATGCACCCGTCCATCCATCCAGCCAGCCATCCATCCCATCCCGCTCGTGCGAGCGTGCGGAACAGTCTAATCTGCCTCTCTGATGTTTGGCCGAATTGGCTTCACTTACAAGACGCAAATTGTGGAGGCGTTTTAGGCAGTGCCGTTTTCCTTTTCGTTTCCAACGATTCCAAAGCAAGACATTATATAGAACCTCTATGGTGGAGCTGAAAACAGGGAACTGGAGCCGGGAATGGAAGCAAGGAACCAGCACGGAGGTCCTGGACCTGGAAGCAAAGCAGAGAACTAGAAGCAGGGGGCTGGAAACAAGAAACTGGGAATTGAAAAGCAAGGAAGAAGCCAGAACAAGGCAAGCGCCTGGAAGCAGGAACTGGAAACTGGAAGCATGGAATTGGACAAGGAAAGCTGGCGGAACTGGACCTGAAAAGCAGGGGAAGCGAAGCAGGGAGCTACGTAGAAGCAGGGACCTGGAAGTATGGAAATGGAAGCCGCAAAGCTGGAAGCAGGGAACTGGAAGCAGCGGACTGAAAGCAAGGAATTGGAAAGCAGGGAAGCAAAGACTTGGAAACAGGAAGCAGGGAACTGGAGCAACAAATCTGCAAGCAGGGAACAAGGAGCAAGGACTGGAAAAGAGGAGCTGGAAGCACAGGCTAAGGTCCAGGACGCAGGCGCCTGAGAGCAAGCAGGTGAAAGCAAGGAACTGAACTCAGGGAGTTGGGCGCGAGGCCCCTGGAAGTAACTCCTTCATGCATGGGGCTGGCTTGTTTGCCCCCTGTACGTGCACGTGCGCCTGCGCGCGCCCGCTCACCCCGCACGCGCGCACGTACACCCCCGCGCGCCCGCGCCCCGCACGCACGGCGGGCACGTACACCAATAAGGGCTAGTTGTTCAAGAATTAATCCAAAAACTAGGACCTACAGCGCCTGCACGCCTGCGCGCACCCTGCACGCACGCACTCACGCTTCGCGCGCCCGCGCGCTTGTTCACCCTGCGCGTACACATGTGCTTTCCCGCAAGCGCGCGGGCGCGCCCCGCGCGCACGCCGGGCATGTACACAAATAAGGGCTAGTTTGCAAAATAAGGCCAGGCCCGCGCCTGGCGCGCGCGCGCGCCCGGCGTTTGCACGCCCGTGCGCGCGGAGTGCACGTACACCCCGCGCGCGCGCCCGTTCCCGCCGCGCGTGCTCACGTACACCCCGCCCGCGCGCCCGCGCGCGCACCGGGCACGTACACAAATAAGGGCTAGTTTTTCAAAAATAAGGCCTTATTTTTGAAAAACTAGCCCTTATTTGTGTACGTGCCCGGTGCGCGCGCGGGCGCGCGGGCGGGGTGTACGTGTGTACGCGCGGGGGGGACGGGCGCGCGCGGGGGTGAGCGGGCGCGGAGTCAGCCCCATGCATAATGCAGTGGCTTCCAGTTGTAAGAAGGTTCGGAGTCAGACAGCTTGGAAATGGATTGAAATAGAAGAGAGTAAGTCAGATATAAGTCTGTTTTTGTGGTGGCTAACATTTTGTTCTTATCAGATGCGGTTGGTTATGTTCCGCAGGGGATATAGTAGACTTAGGCGTAGCTACTCAGGAAACTAAAAGATAAGACATCTTTGTACCTTCCACATCTCTTCTAACCAAAAGAAATTGAAGATAATAAAGCATCTGTTTGCATATCTGTGTTTATCTTGCTCTTGTGTTTTGTGTTCTTATCTGCTTTGCTATGTTTGGTCTGGTTTGCTAGTTTTGCAAGTTTAGATAGCGCATCAAATGCACTTTTCAAGCAAAAGGGCTTTGCCACTATTAAAAGGCACATCAGTGTTGTTGTGATGCGTGGCCTTCCTCACTTTGATGGAATGTTTTCCTTATTGCTTGATGTTATGACAAGCTCTACTAAACAATCTCATTTCACAAAAAGCAGTAGGCCAACCAAGCAGGCCAGTGACAGGCCCTGAAAAAATCCAGCTGCGCAACCAAGCATTGCAGCGACAGGCCCTGAACAAAATCCAGCTGCACAAAAACGAAAACGGGAGCCACACACCCAAGAAAAACAAAGTAGAAGCCCAACGGAAAATAGCACTTCACGAAGAGAAGCAGGCCGACCAAGCAGGCCAGTGACAGGCCCTGAACAAAAACAGTTGCGCGCAAAGAACAGCATCCAGGCACAAGAAGCAAATTAGAAGCCCTACAAGGCCTTGAACAAAATCCAGCGCTGCACAAAAAGCAGCAGGCGCACGCAACAAGCAAATTAGAAGCTCTACTACTTGAACCCGACCAAGCAGGCCGGCGACAGGCAAGGAGCAAAATCCAACTGCATTACAAAAACCGGTAGGCGCACACAACAAGCAAACTAGAAGCCCTTCAAAACAAATCCCACTTACAAAAAGCAGCAGGCCGACCAAGCAGGCCAGTGACAGGCCCTGAAAAAATCCAACTGCGCTAAAAAACGGCAGGCGCACACAACAAGCAAACTAAAAGCACTTCGGAAAAAACAACAACAACGCTTCACGAAAAGCAGCAGGCCGACCAAGCAGATCCACGAAAAATAAGCAAATTAGAAGCCCTACTAAAAAACAACTTCACGAAAAACAGCAGCCCGACCAAGCGGGGCAGTGACAGGCCCTGAACAAAATCCAGCTGCGCAAAAAAGAAAACGGCAGCCACACAAAACAACAAACTAAGAGCCCAACGGACAAAACCCCACTTCACGAAAAGCAGGAGGCCGACCAAGCAGGCCAGTGACAGGCCCTGAAAAATCCAGCGGCGCACAAAAAAGCAGCATCCCCGCACAATAAGCAAATTAGACGCCCTACAAAAAATGTCCCACTTCGCAAAAATAAGCAGCAATCCAGCGCTGCACAAAAAATCGGCAGGCGCACACAACAAGCTACTAATTGGACATCGCAACAAGCAGCAGCCCGACAAAGCAGGCCGCCGACAGGCCTTGAAAGAATCCAACTACGCAAAAAAATGCATTTGAACTGTTTGACCTCCCTAAATAAAGAAAGACTATTGCGAGGACCCTGGACTTTTGAAGCGCTTGGGCCCCTGTGTGCAGAAACATCACTTTGGGGGACCTGGGACTTTCAACGTTTTGAACTTGGTTCTAAATCAGGAACTAGGCCCTGGATTTTGACCTTTGGCTTGTCTTTCGCAACTTCCGCCAACCCAAACTAAATGAAACAAGCGGCCCCTCCAAGATAGCGGCCCCATCCAAATCACAAACCCAAACATACCCAAATTATGGTAAATGGAAAAAGCGGCCCCCTCCACACCGCCAACAACAATTAATTAGATGACATTACAACCACCAACCGTTGCACCAACCCAAACTAAGTGGAAAAGCGCCAACGCAAACTAGATGAAACAAGCGGCCCCTCCAAACCAGCAACACAAACCAATTGGAAAAAGCGGACCCCTCCAAACCACCAAGCCAAACTAAATACAAAAGCGGCCCCATCCAAACCACCAACACAACATTAATGAAGCTGGAACGAAACAAGCGGCCCCTCCAAACCAGCAACTACTAACCCAAACTAAATGAAACAAACAGCAGCCCCCTCCAAACCAGCAACCAAAGCCCCTCCAGACCTCTTCTTTGCAAGGCCAGGCTTTCCCTCCTTGGTTTTACTGCACCAGTTACTTGTCTTATTGCGCAAGGATGATGCCATTGTTTGGATTAGGCTTATATCTTGCTACTTTTAGAAGGGTGCGCAACGTGCGACGCGGCGCAAATCCTGGCACGGAGGTGTGTAGCGGGGGCCCCTCGTTAGTCTATAACGAGAGAACAGTGCTTGACACTTCCTTCCGCAGTTCCAGCTCGAAAGTCGCAACTACTGACTCACCTGGCCCTTCCTGCCACCTGTTGCAACCTTTCTTCTACTCAAGGGCAAGCGCTGTGCAAGTTGGCTCTGCACAGGTATCAGGCTCTGCAAAAAAGTCTGCTTTGCAAGCGACGGGCAGTTCGCAAAGTCTGGGCATGCTGAAACCAGTGAGCTTCGTAGACCTGGGCAAGTCGCATTTTGTGATCCGCAGCTTGTAAAGGTTACGGCGGACTCGCCGATCCATTTGGTCTAGGACGGATCGCAGCAAAAAATATGCAGCTGGCTCGCTGCTGTTCGCCTGTCATTCGTGCGTTTATCCACCCAAAGTATGTGCGATGGCTCGCGGATCATCCTTTATTGCTCGCTTTTTGGACAAAGTCAATTATTTCACAGTTTTTTTCTGTGGTTTAAAGTTATCATAGCATGGGATATCTTTTTTACATCTTCTATCATGTTGTGTCATTTTGATTTTTCTTAGTATCTTCCTAGTAAAGGAAACAATTCTCTGCTTCCAGTTCGCTGCTTCCAGGTCCTTGCTTGCAGGTCATTCTTTCTAGTTCCTTGCTTTTCAGGGAACTTGCTTCCAGGTCCTCGAGGTGCAAATGGTCAAGCATCAGAAAGGTTTAAATTAAGGTCTTCCCAGCCTGTATGTTGGAAGTGTCTTTTACGCCTTGGAATCTTTGGAAGCCCCGCCCGCCCACCCGCCCACTGCCCGCCCGCCCGCCCACCCGCCCACTGCCCGCCCGCCTACGCGCACGCGCACATGCACACGCACGCACGCACGCACGCACGCCAGCGCGCACGCACGAGCGCACGCACGCACGCACGCACGCGCGCACGCGCGCGCGCGCGCGCGCGCACGCCCCACGCGCACGCACGCGCGCCCGTACGCACACACGCGCGCCCCGCGCGCGCACACGCGCGCCCCGCGCGCACGCACGCGCGCCCCCCCGCGCGCACCCCCCGCGCACCGCGCACGTTCGCGACGGAACAAGAACCTCAGAATCAGGCCCACAGGCCTTTTGAACCTAGATAACCCAGAAAGTGATTCAACCATCTTCGCGTGTTCACAAAGACCGTGTTTCTGTAAAAACTACAATGACGACAAGCTTCGCTTCGAGCCAGTGAGTCGAACTCCAGGAGCTGTGCATCGCAAAGCTACCCATCTTGGGATTCGAGGCTGATCAGGGCCGAGGCAAGCAAAAGGGTGCCTGTTGCTCCTGTTCGCCTCCCCAGAATCCCATGGCCAAGGCCCCAGCCCATGCCGCACATGTGCAACGGCGTGGCACCTCAGCGCTCTGACAATCTGAGGATGTTTTATCCTCCCCCCCTTACCCCACTTGCTCGAGAGAACCGTAGAAGACTTGGCGGAAGCACAGCTCTGGATTAAGGGAGGCCTTTGTGATATTCCTTACGTTGGAAAGGCGCATAGTCTGCGGTGTTTGAAGAAACGACTGCAAAATATGAAAAGGGCCAGCCGCAATCCCTGATGCGCCCTTTTATAGTGCACAATGGTGCAGGGGCTCGCCAGTTGATCTCTACCAGGCCGACAGGATCATGTGGTCAACTCTCTCTTGGCATCCCTTGACCAGGATTCTGCAGGAGAGAGGAAAACCAAGGGCTTCAAAGACAAAGTAGTGCGATGTCTATTGCTTCAGCTCTGGCGTTTCCACAAACCAGCAGCTAAGCCCAATTTTCATTGAGCCTCCCCTTGACGTCCGGAACATTCACAACAGCCACGTTCAAATTCATTGGGCTGTGACATTGTGTCTCATCCACGAAAGTCTCAGCCTTGACCCAACTGCAATGAGTTCTTTGCCGAAGCTTGAAGCCCTAGCCTCGCCGCTTCCACATTCCCTTCCTTTGGGCTTGATCCCGAGCCATCGGCCGCCAGTTGAGATGTCATTCGCCAGGTCTGGGTACTTGTCCAGCAGCCTGGGCCACGGCACCCGGTTGCCTGTTGATCGGGAAGATTGATGCTGTTCCAAACGGGTCGGACCCAGGGTCGGGGTCCTCGGCTCGCATGCTTCAACACGGGCTGAGTAGAGTACCCTCCCTTTGACAGCCATGGAAGTCAGTGCCTGCTTCGACGAAAAGGCTTGCCTTTCTGGATTTGGGCCATCATGCTCAGTCCATGCATCTTGCCTAGCACTAGCTGCGCCCAAATTGTCTGTAGCTTCAGAGTGATTGACTGAAGATTTGTGCGATTGAATCTTTAAACCCATTCATTGCGAGCACCTATGGGCTCTCTCCAAGCATGTGGGGCCAATATCCACTGACCATCAACCTAGTCCTGCTTTGGGCCTGCATGGTTCTGAGCTGGTGGTTCACCACTTCCACAAGGATAGGTTGTGGACAAGCTGTCTCTCTCTGTCTCTCACTCTGGCTCACTCTGCGCTGCGCACGCGTAGGCGCGAGTGGCCACCTTTTTCACAGTCGGCTGCGAGCAGGCACGTAGGCATCGCGTAGGCTCAACTTGACAATTTGCCCATATGGCGGGTGCGCACTGGTACGAGTTTTAGCACGACACACACCGCGTGAGCACTTTGAGAGCAAAACTCCAACCGCGTAGGGGCGCGTAGGCGTTCTAAGGCAGACATACACCTTACGTAGGCCGTCCGGCATGGTATTTGCGCATGACGTAGGCGCCGGCGTAGGCATTTGATGATACGTGACTAGGGTTACCTTCCCAAACAAAAACATATATATATATACATACATATGTCCACTCTCCAAATGGAAACTCCCTAATGCCCTCCCGTCCACGGCGGGCCGCCAGGCGGCTTCAGGGCCGCCGTGCCCTTCCGCAGCGCCTGCCGATGGGGCCACGCGATCCGAACTGTTGTGTGATCTTTTGCAGGGTTTTCGAAGGCCAAGATCATTCGTGGCTTGGTGATGTGCTTCACAGCACGTGTAGTGTGGATTTTGGCCATTTCAATGTGACGTACCTGGCCCCAATCAGAATCCTCCTCCCCACCGCTGCCGTCGTAGCCCATCTTCGCTGTCATTGTCATACTTAATTTCCCTGTCGTCGTAATCATCATCATCATCATCCTCCTCCTCCTCCTCATCCTCCTCCTCCTCCTCCTCCTCCTCCTCCTCCTCCTCATCCTGCTCCTCCTCCTGCTCCTCCTGCTCCTCCTCCTGCTCCTCCTGCTCCTCCTCCTGCTCTTCCTGCTCCTGCTCGTCACTATCAAAAATATACAATCATCATCTTTGTCGTCATTGCCTAGGATTGTCAGAATCCCCATGAATGTCATTTCACGTCAGCCTTCCACGACGTCATCTATCTGCAAAATGTTGGACCGCAAGCCAGAACAATCTTACGGTTACAGGCAAGGGGTGCGGCTAAAGGCAAAACAATCAATGAGCAATAAAATCAGCCTGCCTCGTTGATGGGAGTGTAGCCCCCGCCGGCATAGATGGGTCCGGGTCGTGGGTTGTGGTTCTGATACTGCCTGGCATTCTTGAAGCTTGGCCATGCCCTCACAAATCCATGAGAGGCGCTGTGAAGAATCTGTGATCCCGGAGCGATGCTAAACTCGCGCTTGGTTTCTCTGCAGTATCAAAAGCTTACCTTGGGACTCCACCCTCAATGAGAGGCTCTAAATTACCTGGTTAAAATCAACATGAAACTTTGTTACAGGCGCTTGCTTCCCACTTACCTCTCCACCACGCCTGCCGATCAAAACCTGCCCAGAGGTATCGCGCTTCACGATGCCGCCGTAGATGCCTGCTATGCTCAAGCTTAGGTGGAGGCGTGCCCTCCTGTTGTCCCTCAAGCGTTCCACAGAGACGAAAAAAGACGACGGGGGTTCAGCGCCGAGATCAGCAACCCGCAAACAGATTCAAAAAAAAATCGCAAGCCTGGACCCACGGTGTCCGCGTAGGGGTCAAACCTGGCCGATGTCCAAAATCTATGCAGCCCAAGAGCACACCGGTTACTACGTGCGCAGTGCTTTGAAGTACAGTGATGCACCGATTCCTCTACACCAGATTCAGCTTTGGGAAGGAAAGACAAATTTGTGGATATCAGCCGAATTCACAATGAAACCATCTCCAATGGACCCCAGGGACTTGCCTCTGAAGACCAAGAGTTGGCCGAACCGTGGCAGCTGCGCCCCTCGTTGTCCGTCTTCCCAGGCAGGCCATACTTCTCCGCCATGCCCGGGGCATAAGGGTCGTGCCTGTCAAACCACAGGATCACAAATTGGAACACGGGTGATTTACAACACAATGCCAACCATTCAGAGCCACGCAACATCTCAGCACCAAGCCTGACAACACCTCACAATGGCTGAGCTGCCGACGTGATGCGAACACCATCATGCCGGTAGTACTCAGACCTCTCACAATTGGGCAGAAAGATTATCTGCAAGCAGGTGTCCAAATCTCACGTGGGCAAAACTGCCAGCGCTTGACAAACACCTGCAATCTTGATGCCAAGGACTGCGCATTGCCGTGGTTGCAGCAGGCATGGCTCCTCCGACGGTACACAACTTGGAAACCCGTTTGGCGTCGCCTTCGGCGTCCATGCGTTGCTTGATGCGTTGGCTTCTGATCATTTTCTAGCCACGGAGAGCTCCGTTTGGAATGCCACGTACCCCGGTGACAGCTCTGGCACCTGCGGCCTTGGATTGCACGATCTTGGAGCAGGCCACCTCAAGCAATGCAAGGCCTCAAGCAAGGGTGGAATCCTCCCAAACGGAGAGTCCTTTGAAGGTGTATCTGAGGGATATGCCTTCCTGTGTAGCTTGTTTCAGAATGACCCGAAGGCAGCATAACAACAAACCGAGCCAGGCCACCTTTTGCCAGCAAACGCCATGCGTGTCCAGGGCATATGCGAAGCAACGCATGGCCACATTTCGGCCCACTGTTGCTGGACATCATCAATTTATAAACACTCAAAGTTTACTCAGAGTCGCAGATCAGGTTCTTTGAAATTCTCCAGCCAACATGTCAGACGTCCCTAGAATCTTGCTTCCTGGCTCCGGAGCACCTAATCACTCAATCACACTGCAACATGACGTGTAAAATCGGCTCGCCACGCGTAAGGTACGTTTGCTTGCAAAGGCCAGTCTTCAAATTCCAGAACCTGCACGAGCCAGCCGCATCGCCGGACAACAACTGGTCCCCGTCCCGCGAGATCGCGACGGAGCGCACGGCATCCGAGCCCTCGATGGTTTGAGAGCAGGAGCCCGTATCGAGCGCCCAGAGCACACACCTGCCATCAAAGCAGCCGGCGACCGCCAGGTTAGCCGAAACGGCCAGCGCGAGAACTGGCGAAGAACCGGAGAAAGTCATCTCACAATCACCGGAAATACAGCGCCATACTTTGACAGAGCCATCAAAGGATCCGGTTATGACACGCTGATCTTCAGCAGCAAACGCGACGGATGTAAGAACACCGGTGTGACCACCAAGAACATGAAGGCACTTCCCTGTTTTCACATCCCATAGCTTTGCCAGCTCATCAGAGCCTCCCGTTACTGCATAGTCCACGTTGCTGGAGAGACCAACCGCGAGTACAGCCCCGCTGTGCCGACAAAGCGTCTTGACACAGGATCCGGTCGCTACGCTCCACACCCGACCTTGCTGCAGAACTGATCTCTCTTACACCTACAAAGTGGCACCTACAAAGTGGGCTTGCAAAGAAAGAAATACATACCTCTCCGCACAACAATACTGTTTGTTTCCCAACAAAAAGATATGGGGAGATAGAGTGGGTCCGTATTTCAGGTGACCTCCCCAAGTCCTCCATAAGTTCACGATAAACTGCCAAGAGCTGCTCAAAGCTCAAAGACTTCCCCCCAAAGTGTGTGCCAACTCGCTCCCCAGCCGCCGGTGCAATTCTCGCTGCCGGTGATGCAGTAGGCTCCGCATGCGGAGAACGCCGCCGCCAGGACGCTCCCGCACCGAGCCCGAAGGGTCTGGGAGGAGTCGCCGCAGAGACGCGCCAGGCCCTGGGGGTACCCAGCGAGCAGCTGCGAGGAGTCCTGGACTCGAAAGGCGACCGCGGTATGGTGCCAACGCGCGATCCTCGCTTCCAGCTCAGATGATACGCATGTGGAATCTCATGACTCAGACAGTCATCCTGATTTGCCCAAACAAAATCTACCAAGCAAATCGACGGAGAGGCGCAACGGGGCAAACCTACAATACGCACCAGAAGCGCCGAAAACGCAATCCGTCGCGCCAAGCTCCCATTCCATTCCCACTCCGAACGGACTCCGAACCCACCGGGCTCCGCCCTCTCGGCCGCCAAACACAGCGCCCCCTGCGGCGGCGCCGGCAGCGCCGCGGGGGCGCCGCCCGCCTCTGGGGCCCAGCGCCCGCAGGCGCCGTCCGCGCAGAGCAGCGCTGAGGGCGGGGGGCGACGCACCAAGGACACCGCGGCCTGCCTGGACATTCCCAAAAAATGGCTCAAGTGATCCCATCGTTCCAAGTTTAAGACATGGCTTTCATGGGAGGTTGCTTCTCAGCTCTGGCTCGGGGAGCCGCATCTTTTGGTCAGGGGTCTTCCCCACATGTGCACTGCGAGAGCGGAAAAGACACGCAACAAAGACGATGTCTCCAAAAAACAGAAAAGAAAACCCAACCATTCCCCATTCCTTCCAGCTTAGGTGTGGTTTCCGTTCTACCTTCCTACCTTCCTACCTTCTATCTCTGGGGCCCTCGCTCTAGGCCCTCGGCATCCAGGCGCTCGGGACACAAACTTTGGCCCCAGACCGCTGGGTGCCGCTCCGCCGCTCCGCCGCTCCGCAGCATCCAGCGGCGCCGCCAGCTCCCACCGAAGCCTCCGAAGCTCCAACGGGAAAGGAGAGGCTGCGGCTGTAGCTCAACGGCTCAACATTCGTCAAACAGACATTCTAATTCAAATTTGTCAAACAGGAGGTACCGGTTAAGCAGAGTTAAGCAGGTTTTGGTACCGGTTGAGCCATCTGGCAACACCCCACAAAGAATGGCGAAATGCCAAAGCACTCCGTGCGTCAAAAGAAGTTGCTCCAATGACTTTCTAAGTTGCTGCATCCTCTAACAATGCAATGCTGCAGCTTCTCTCGTACCCTTCCACCCAGAGACAGCCACCCACTGTGATCAACTTGAGAGCCCTTTTTCTGCTTCTGTGCCGTTGATATGGCATCTGACACACCTTTTTAAGGGACGCGGTCTTTGTCTTTCACTTTAATGAGTTGCAGGATACTTGGCCCCATACCAAAAGGCAAGGGCCCATCATGAATTTGGTCTTGAGATGGGTTACAAAATCAGTCGTAGAGCCGGTCGGAAAATGTTGTCACTCACGGGAGCTGGTTGAGCTGGCATTCCAATAAAATGCCCGGTGAATGAAATCGTAGATGCACAACTATTTGGTCAGTCTCCTTGTTGCTTGGGCTTCGGTTTTGGGACTTCATCAATCTGCTTAATGTCACTACAAACTGTCTGGGCTGATCTGGAAAGCCTGCCCAATGACTGGGCAAAGAACCGACAGTCTCTCAAAAGTTGCAATCAACCGTTGAAATTAGATTCACTCACGTTGTAGCTAGGTTGTGCGTTCTAAACTCGTGGATGGATTGACTGCACCGGTCTGTTGCGAGTTCAACATTGCTTGATTTAGGGGGGCGCGCGCGCGCACGCATGCGCACCCGGCGTGTCCGCGTGGGCGCGCCTGCGCGTGGGCGCTGGGGGGGGGGGGGGGTCGTGCCTTCACAACATGTGCATGTATGTGTGTGTGTGTGTTGGCATTTTGACACGGTGATTTGATGGGACATAAATCCCATCTGCCTGGGGCGGGAGCTCCACCACCGACACCCTCTCACCACTCAGCGCCCAGTGCACACAGATCGACACCAGCTCGCTCTTTCGCTTCATCGCGGGCCGAGCGATCTCGAAAAGTACAAACACTGTGTCCAACATCTACCCAAGTTCAACTTGCACAAGGCTTCCCTGTGGTGAGTGGCGAAATTGAAGTTTGTCGCACAGGCTTTGTCGCATTCAAGCTGTGACAACTTCGCGTCTGGCCACACTCTGATTGTCCACATACTTTGGCCTGCTTTCTAAACATAACGAAAAACAAACAAGCCAGTTTGCCCATGCTCTTGCATATCCCGATTCTTCGAAGAAAAAAGAACTGTAAGCCATAAAGCTGCAATTCAGCAAAACTGGAACACATCAGCAAAGGTTGGCAGCAATAAAAGCACGATAATACACAGCAGCTTGCAAATGCAAGCCGCGCTGAGAGCTCCGCTGCCGTAAGCAGCCGCTTAAGCATCCATACACCGCACTGCAGCCTACCAACAACGGTGAAAAAACAATATGGAAAGTAGCAAAAAAGTCAAAATCCTTTCAAGAGTGCTGAATGACGATGCCATTGAGATGTTATGTGCGTGTGTGTGTGTGACATCTAGATGTGTAAACATGCCTAGCACGGGCCGTCTCGGTTTTCACTTGCCCCTGTGCAACCTGATGCCATGAGAGCCAAAGGCATGAGCGTGCGGAAGCCGACGGCAATCTTGCTTCACGGCAGCCAGACATCCGGTCTTGCCAAACATGTACCAATGGATCAAGAAGTGAACAAACAAGTATTTGATTAAAAAAATCAGGCCCCGTTCTGTTGGCCGAAATCGGAATCTCGACTGTTTGAGAAACGCAACGTGTTGCTTCATACACCTTGGTGTGTCTCGTGCCCGTTGTCCCACCCGGTCCAACCCGGCAAAGAGCAAAGCCACTGCTTTCACCAGCCCTGCCGCGCGAGCTCCGCGCGGAGCCGGCCCAAGCGCTCGTACTCGGGGCTCATCTCAGCCTAAGCCGCCGGGCTCACGGTGACTATCTGCACGCGATTCTCCGGAAGAGGAAACGAGCAGTGGGCAACTGTGTTGCTGCGACACTCAAACCGCTTTGAACATTTCGATATGTGGCACATCCCCTTGCCCAACGCCCGGCACCCCATGGCCTCGCCCAGAGATGCCTGCGGAAGGCTGGTGTGGCGCTTCGCGTGCACCGCCTCGCACCATCGGACGTAGGCGTCCTGGCATCAAGACGTTCGTTCGACCAAAAAATATCCGCCCCTGCACTGGTCACCGTCAGCGAAGCTCCTGCTCCTCCGGGCCGAAGCACCAGCTCTCAGGAGAGGCACTGCTGCGCCTGAGACAAGCGGTTCATCCCGCCCGCCCACGGGCACCTTTGACATATAGATCATATGCGTATATACATTGATATATACATATATACAAATTGCACATCAAGGGAAAGCAAAACTGAGTTGGCTGGGTTGGGGCGCCTCTGATCGCAACCCTTTCCCCTGAATTGGGATGGCATAGACCTCCCCGATTTATTGGGGAGGGATATGGATACACCAAAAGCTGCCTGGCATATGGGTGCGTTTACTGGGGCTCGTGAAGTGAAATATGCTCTCGTTTCCAACATCTGCGAACAGGGGTAGCCCGCTGAAGAACTTAATAATCCCCCCTTGCGCAAGGTTGACATGCAACTCCAGGCCAGTCTCAATTGGAGCCAATTCCTCTCTCCGAGAGACAAAGTCAAAAGAACGCCCGGCCGACTTGCTTTCCGCCGGCCTCTGGCGCACCAGCTCAGCCAAGGTCGCCGCCGCCAGCCCCGACGCCGCCAGCCCCGCGTCCGATGCCGCGGCATCCGCGGCGTCGGCGTCGGCGTCGGCGTCGGCACCAGGACCGAGGCCCAGTGGCTCGAAGTCCCGGCGCCGCGTCAGCCACAGGGCCAACTGGCGCGCACCGCCGAAGCTCAGCTGATTCGGCTCGTTGCGACTCGATGTGAAAATCTCGATGCATATTGTAGATGCACAAATTTGCATACCGAATGCAAACTTCATGTTTTGGTAGGCCCCTTGTCCCCTTGCCGTTGGTTGGGCCATGGCAGGAGCACTCCCCTTCCTCCCCCTCCTCCCCCTCCTCCCCCTCCTCCCCCTCCTCCCCCTCCTCCCCCTCCTCTTCGCCTTGGGCTCCTCCCCCAGGCGGCTGCCCAGGACCGAAGGCCCCTGCGCCAGGCGCCGATGCACGAAGCCGTCCAGGCAGCGGCGACACTCCGCAACGGACCCGAAGACTCGGGAGCAGACCCACAGATTGGAGCCCTCCGATTTCGTCACCTCAGGGAGAAACGGGGAAAGGAGGAAAGGGGGAAAGGGGGAAAGGAGGGATCGTGAGAAGGCCGCGTCGCAATGGGATCACAAGCTTCGCCATCCCTACTCCAGCTGGACTCAAGGCTCTCCATTTGGAAGCCTGGATTACCAAGACACAGTCAACAACAGGAGCTCCCAAGAAGCCCTAATCTGGACACATGCTTGCGCGCAGAACTCGCCCAGCCTGGCGGTTTGCCAGCGGATCAAACGCCTTCGAAGTCTCAAAGATGAAATGCACCTCCGCAACCTCGAAGTCTGGGCAAAGTATCACCCCTGGTTACCAGCTAGCACAGAACAACTGGCTAGACCAATGTCAAAATCCCCTCACCAAGCCGTTGCTTAGCTTCGGAACGCAAGGCAGAATCCTCCAAGCAAGTAGATACCAACTCATAGCCGTAACCAACCTCCCAAGTGGTGAATGATGGTCATCCTTGGGTTCTTTGGGCTTCAGATATCCAATCGATGTTTCTCCTCTTAGAAAAACACAACTCAGCCAGTGGCTGCAAAGATGCATGTTGCGAAGGCCACATGACAGCCGAACCTGACCATACTCCATAGTTGCTGAGAATCTGGAAGTCCGACCTCAAGTTGTTGGCATCTCTCAACGGTCAATCCTACTTTCCCGTTGGACGTCTATTTGACGGCATTCTCTTCCACTTGGGCCCAGCGGCTCCAAAGGCGTCACAGCTGCGAAGGATTGCAGCAGCATCAAGCCTCTCATTGAGAGGCGCTCAGTGTGCCTATGCCTCAAATGGGGCCAGGTCGGTGTCCTGTTGGTTTCCTTCAAAAAGCATAACAAATACCTGGTCTTGACGCCACGTCCATGCACTAGTTTCACGGGTACTTCCAGTCAACACAGAAAACAGCAGGGCAGTTTGTGGAAGTGTCTATGTTCAGTCAACTTTGATGATTGCTTTCAGGATCTATGCTTTCTCGAGTCATGGTTTGTCTTGTCAACTTTGGCTCTTGCTTCAAGTGTCGTGGCGGTGTCCTGGCCACACAGACCTGGGGAAGCACAATAGATATCTAGGTGGGTTTGCCAGTTGGCGTTGGCCCGCCATGGCTTTATCTGCAGCCCATGGTCTGGGCTCCCGAAGGCTTGCTTTTCTTCAGGAATGCTCTTACATCGTCACAACATGCGAAAGTTTCGTGCGCGCTTGCTGTGTGTCCTCGTGCCCTTTTTATCAGAAACCTGGCAAGTTCACATCAGAGTTGTCTGGAGCATGTGTTTGCACACAGCGAAACCTTCCAATCCTAATTTCAAGTCAACCAAAAGCGACAAGGTGGTAACAACTAAAGTACAGTGCCACAAAGCCGAAAGCGGCTTGAGCAATGCAAGGGTCAAGAATTCCAGAAATCCTCAATGCTTCAACCACCACAATCAATTCTGGGCCTGTCGGGATCCTCCAGCACCACCACCAAGCCCCGCTGCCGCCGCCGCGCAATGGCCAGGAACCGCTCGGCGCGGCTGCTGCCTTGGCGTTTGGGCAGTAGGGGCCACAAGCCCCATGTTGCAAGAGCCCCTCAAAAAACTACAGAGATTGCCCACAAATTGCCAGTCCCCGCATGCAATGCTCTCGAAAAGCTCCGAGGTTACAAGTCGCAAAATGCGCTTTACTTATCAAAAGCCAAGCCGGGTGCGTATCAAAACTAGAGAGCCTTGCTTCGTCTGTCGACGTCAAAAACACCTAACAATGCGCGATGAAGCTGTACAAATGGCCATTTCGATACTGACCAACACACATCACTCTGCAACTTTGGGAAATGGAACGGCTGACACCACACTGCCGACTACATTGTGTCAGTGCCTTGCTGGATACAGTCACTCAACTCTTAAACTGTCACACTAAGCTCCCCAAAGGTTAAACAAGTGCTTTGGCTGAGAGACTCGACTGCAGTTGGCAGGCGGATGACCAAAATACCAACTTTGCCCCAAGGCTTTGGATTTGGCTTGTCAGCATCACACTACGCAGGCACTTTCGTCATCACACATTCATTCCATTTGCAAATGTTACATTGAGGAAGCCAGAGATAATGCAAGACAAAGAACAGACATAATGATCAATAAGACAAAGGATAGGGAGATGAATTGCAAAGAAGAATTCCGGTATTCACAACATGGTCGAGCGGGACAAGTCTAGAACTCTTCATGTCCTCGCCACAATCCGGAGCTGTTGCAAGTGCCAATGGTCTGTCAAAGTCAATGAGCCTGAGGTTGGCAACTGCCAAAGCAGGATACCAAACTGGACAAAAGCTGACCGTCTGCTTACAAGCTCGTGTCCACCTTTGTCCAGAAGCAGAGCAAACCTAACTGCAGCATTGATCTAAGCTTTGGTGTACCGACTGACCAGAAGCGATGCCATTTAGCTTCCTTCCAAGCACTGGTTTACAGCATGAAGTTCGAACAAAACGCCAAGAACAATGTGCTTCTTTGGCAAAGCAACATGCCCTAACAAGCAGCAAACGTTCATGGGGAGCCCCCCTGTAGCCACCTCTTGACGAGCTACTTTCCACGGGATCAATCGGCGATGCAAACCTGCAGAAGCTGGGATTCCAGATGGTCCCTGTCAGAAGCCAAAAGTCTCAAAGTCTTGAGTTTTGGGCATGGCCAATGTTCAGCCCATATTGCCGCCGTTGCAGGCCGTTGCTACCGGCTTCCTGAAGGGAAGCGATACCAAGGGCTCTTTTCGGGGAGATAAACTATCTGAGCACGCAAATCCTTTTGTGAGGAACATGAGGCAACTCACAAGAATCAAACATGTCCATCCGTCCTTTGCCAGCAACCTGAGGATGTCCTAAAAGTGGGGGGTGTCTTTGGACTATTTCTTGTTCGCAAAACCTGATGGAAATCTTGTGATTCGTTGAGGATCGGAACTGACACATATCTGACCATATCCCACATCATCAAGATCATGACATCTAGTGAACTTAAGGAGGGGGTGAACGAAAGCTAGCAACTGTTGTATGAGACGGGTCGGAAACAGAGTAAATTCCATAGGTAGCTTGCGCACCATGAGGGCCGCCGCAAAGATCCCCAGGAGGCTACACGCAAACTGACATGGTGGCCAGGCAAACTGTGAAAATGAAAATAATGAGAGGTGTCTCAAGCCGTCTTAAAGCACCCTGAGTTCTGCATGTTGATTGCACACGGCTTCCTGCAAGGTGCTTTCCTGAGAAGACTGAGGAAGGCCACGAAACGGGATTCGGATATGCAGACCGGATGCCCTGGAAATGTATTTCTGGGTCCAAGTCAACGCTCGAAGGGGGGGGGTGGACCAGGGTGGATTCGAGCCCGGGAAGGGGGGGGGGTCTATTCAGCCCCTTACCTTGCTTACGCAAGCAGAAACTTCAGCTACAGCTAGCTTTCGTGATGATTGGGAGGACGTAAAGAAAAGCCGATCTGACACTGCGACCCCCCGGTAGCTCTCGTGGCTTCAGCTTCAGGCGAGGGACGAAGCAGACAGGACAAACACTGACGTAGGGCACTGATCGGAGACCAAACATCACTCGGGAACACAAGAACGCGTGTGCTGCCGGGCCACGGGCATGGTGCCAGGCCGAAGGCCACTTGCCTGGCCACCTGACTGAGTTCCTCCCTTGACTAGCAAGGCATCGCACCGCAGAAAGCATGAGTTTCCCGAATCAGCAACTTTCTTATGACTCAAAACAAGTCAAACGTTTCGCGATACGCTTGGATTCAGCGTAATGACCAACCTTTCATTGGGAAAAAGTGACGAAAATGCGGTTCACGGCGCAGACTGAAAGTTCATGCGCATCAATGTTCAATACCCCGTTCCGAGAAGGTGTCCGTGGCTGCTCCTTCACACTTCAACCTCACTGAGTTGAGACTTGCGATTCATCACCGCTACTCCTGCAATTTGGCAGTTTGAATCGCAGATCAGCCCGTTTCTGCGTAAGCCTTTGAGACGAGACATTCACCATTTGCTTAACAAAGCGGCAAGAAAATGCGGCGCAGCGTACCAGGTCCGCCAAACTCCAAAGCACCTATTGGCTGGTTCGTCGACAAAGCTAGGCTGCATCCAGCTAGCATCCGGGATGGCTATGAATGGGTGGCCTCAAGGAGAAGTCCTTTAACAAGGCAAACACAATTCCAATTGATGGGCAGCTAAAATCGAAGATTGAACTAAGCCAGCCAACAACTCTTTGCAGCCTCTGCCAGGATGACAGCTGCGGAGACGGCCACGTTGAGGCTTTGCACCTGCTAAGCGGCTTAAAGACTAGAGGCCAAAGAGCTGCTGAAGCTGGCTTTCTGTTGAATAAGTCAGGAAAGGCGCTTTAAAAACCTCCTACACATTCAAGCTCTGAAGAAAAGTATCAGCATTTTCAAATTTTCAGGAGATGTCCTTACCTTCGTTGCAGCACAAAGCTGGCATATGTTCTCGCTTGAGATGCTGACTGGATCTGCAATGAACTTACCTCTTCGACCTAGATCATATAGTGAATATGCACCATACAAGGGACAGGAATTGAGCTGGAAACTCCGTCCGTGCGCTCAGAATGGTCTCTGTCGCTTTGGCCAGTCGTAAGGCCCCAACCATGCCTGACATTGGAATGAAAATACGCCTCAGAATGCTCAGGCTGCGGCCATCCCACCAATGCACTGATGGGCAATAATATGCAGAAAGCAGGCCCAGCAAGCCCAAGCACCCCAGAATGTAATATGGAGATTTGAGGTCTCCCAAGCCAACTGTCCCTCAAAAGCCATCACATGACTTTCTGCTTCTTGCAAAAGCCCCGAGCACTGCTGGCAGCTGCGCCCTTCAAGTCAAGTGCAACATGATTTTGTCTGGACTTGGCAAAGCTCCAAAATATCACAGCTGTGCGAGCCCCCAACACAAGGGCAAGTGCATTTGGCCCGAGAAAACAACAACTCCTTTCTTGCCAGCAGACTGTGGCCAATTCCTGGACACTCTCTGACGTAGTCTTATTCATAACAAGCTTGCGATGTCCTTGCGTGCCGCTAACTCTACAATGGAGCTCAACTGAAGACCTTTCAAAACTGTCCAAGCCAGAGATCTCAGGCAGACTGCATGTGCAGGCCTCAAGGGGCTTGACCCTTGCCCTTGGCCCCCGACTCGTTCGCTCCCTGGGTGGCCTCCTCTGTCAGCCCATACTTCTCCTCGCGAGGCGGTGAATCGACCCATTCACAGATGAGGGCTTTTCCGGGATAGCCACCCGCTCCCAAGAGCTTGAAAACGGAGCGCCTTTGGGACCCTAACGGATCGGCTGGAATCACAGCCCTGACATCCAAGTTGTTCACTCACATCAAATCCCGTGTCCTGGCCAAACCAAAAGGCCATCTTGCGACGGTCAAAACGAAGGTCGTAGAGGTTGACCTGACAGCCACCGTCTCACACATGCTGTCGCAAAGGCCACATGTTCCATGAAGCTACAAAGCCCCGCCTTGGCCTTTGTAGCCTTTCGCACACCCTTGCTGCAAAAACATATTTGTCCAACGTATTGTCAGAGACCAATTGTATAGCATGTTCAAACTAGCCCTGCCCCCCTTTATTGCGCCATGCTGCGCTCGAACCCAGCGAAGTGGCGAAGGAGGTGATGCCCTCGCGCGCCAAGTCCTGCGGGACTCATTTTGGGGAGGCAAGGCACAACTCGCTCCCTGGATTGACTAAACCAGTGTCAGAAAATTCTTCAGACGTGAAGATGCAGTTAAGGCTGGGGACATTTGCATAAAATGATTTCAGGTGCTGCCAAACTTGACAAACAACTACAAGAAAGCAGGTGCAAAGTTAATTCCATGCTTAAAATTCTCTGCGGAATCCGTCCACAAGCATAACTTTCAGAATGCAGAGCTCTGCGCATCTCAGCCAGGCATACACCACAGTTTCATCCAGCAAACGGCCTGTGAAATTACATTGATGTTTCATACCCTGGGCTGAGGCTCCACACGTTTTTCAAGCAAACAAAACGCGATAAACAGCCGTCGACATTTGCCAGAGCGTTTGTCAACTGTCGCATGGGCTCAAAGGACCCTGTGCCTGCATGCATTGGGCGGTGTTCAGAACTACTCGGCCCACGCTGGGATCCAGTCTCAGCGCCTTCCGACATCGTGGATCCTGCCAGCCCAGCATGACGTACGAGTTGGTGGTGTGTGGCGGTGGTTTCGTGGCTTAACTCACTTTTGTTTGCCACAATTGGTCCAATCTGAACAGCGAACCATGTACAAATCCAAGCGCATAGAGGCAGCACAAGCTCACAGTGTCAGACCCACAGGGCTACCGAACCAAACCGCCCACTATCCAGTGCTGTGCATGTGTGCATGTTTGATAATCGCATTGCGTCGTCTCCTTCGTCAACAAAATGGCTCAAGGCCAAAGGGAAATGTTGCTCAACTATGGCCGAAGCTGGAGTGTGTTGTACTCGTTGTCTTCTCGTGTTTGGCCTGCACGGTCTGTGTGTGTGTGCGCGTGTGTTTGCACGATACTCTACGTGGTAAGCTCCCCTTTGACAGCAGATTTTGGCCTTGGGGACTCGAGCCTCTTTCCTTGTTGAGTTTGATAGCAACCCGTGTGCCTCTCGCATCCACTTTGCTCTCTCCTCGCTAATTTGAGCAATTGGAGGACAGTTCTAGCATTGTGCGGCGCACGTCATGGGCAAAACAGTAGAAGTTAAGATTACATGTTTGCCTGTGGCTCATCTTGGACAATGACAAATCAACACACATACTCAAATACGTGCAAAGCTTGTGCTCTCCCACAAACACACAGTCGTACGCACCTCAAGAGGTCACTCACATCCCTTACATCAACTTGACCTTCAAATGCCTCAAGCGCCTGAGATTGCTGCAAAAATGAGTCCCATGCAACATCCCGTGTTATTATGCTTCTAATGGCTTTAACAGGTATGCGAGCCCATCCATAATAGGGGCTCTCTCCCTGACGCTCTCGCTGCGCTTTCCAACAAAAATGAACTCTTGCTGTTTGAACAAAACTGCACAGGAGACTTACGGTAGACTTACAATAAAAGGGATTGCATCGAGTTAGGGTCAATAATAGTGTGGCCGCACCAAGACCCACACGTCCACACACACATACACCAAAAAGAAATACAGCTCAAGCTTTCCAAGATCAACACGGTAGACCCGAGTCACAACTCCCCATGCCAAGATTGGAAAGCAGTATGTCCATGTGTCCATGCCTTGCTGCAAGCTTCAATGCACCCAGGCCATTTCCACCCTGTCGGGCCAAAACCTTCCTTTGTGTTCCACCCGTCTGCCCTTCTGCCCCATTGGGCACGCCTCCTCCTTGGCCTCCTGGATCAACCGCAGCTCACGGACGCCAAAGGCCCGGCAGACCCGGCGCAGTCGATCCAAGTTGTGGCTGTCGCTGGGGTTCTCAACCTTGTGACGCGAGAAGCCTCTTCGGCTTATGGCGAGCTCTACCGTTGGAACGATGTGCGTTTGCAAAGGATGGAACACCCGTAATCCTGTACTGAGCTGACAATTCTGCAGCAGCATGCATCTAAGTTCGTGCACACCCAAATTTCAACATCCCGAAAGGTGCTCAAGGAAGAAACTTGGACACAGGCAATGAAATTGCTAAAGACGTGGAGATTCTCTTGGAGCACAATACGGACACTCCTCACAAACAAATGGGCTCTGAGGTTGCCAAGTTTCTGCAGTCCGACACCGATGGCTTCACGGCATGCTGCTCCAGCCCAAAGAAAACATGTTAGCGAGACATGCGAAGCATACCGAGGTCTGAGCCATCCACTCAAAGGTAAGACAATGCAATGATGACAATGCCAACCCACTTCCTAATGACTTCAAAGGCCACGCCGCCACCACGATGACGTTGGAGAGCCAACCATCGGCCATGGCAGAGCGCCGAGCCCGAGCGCGTCTTGGTTTTATGGCGTGTAAAGCGTCTGGGCTAATTTTCCGGATCCCTTGCTCGCGAACTGACTAGCCTTCACCCTGGGTCCATCTTCTGAGGGAAGATGGCGGGAGAAAATGAGACGGTCTTCTTTCCAAAGTAAGCGGGGGTCCTCGCTGAAGGTCTGCCAACAAACATACCAACAGGGTTTGTAGTACTTCCCAATCAGCCTGGCATTTCTCTCAACGGCTGAAGAAATCAAGATGACAGCAGTGCCAAATTGAACCTCTGGTCTGAGCTGGGCTTGGCGACCACACAACTACTTGGCCGCACTCGGACACAAAAACCACTCAAACTAAGGCTATCAAGCCCACAGCTTGTTCAGGATAGATGTGGAAAGTGCCGTCGAGCCTCCTTGCCATGGAGTTGTTGATGAATGCCCCACACCAAGACACAAAAAGCTTGAAGTACAATGTCAGGCTGTGTGTCAACGGAGGCTTTTGGACCCAAAGAGTCCTTCCAATTCGTTCCAAAACTGATCAACCTCATTCTGCAGCAAGGCTTGCTTTTGCTGTCCACACGTCAACTAACAACCTGTCCACAGCTCCTCATTTGAGGTGCCTGAAGGGCAAAGCATTAACAAATGCCCCTGACCCACCGAGCAGGGACCTGGTGGCTGCGCTGTTTTGCGTATCCTGTAAAGCAGGAATTCCTCCAAACCACGGCAGAAGCGCGGAAGAACCTGGTGCTCAGCGCATCCTGAAAGCAATCTGGAGCTCTGCTCGCAATAAAGCATCGGATGGCTGCATCCGCGACTGAAACTGAAGTGCTTGCGGTTGAGTCTGTAAGCTGCAAAGATATCTGGTTGCTCAGCTTTGCCTCCAGCGATTGGATTAACTGGCTTAGAGCATGTGGTTCAGATGTAACAGTCGCGCCTTCAGTTGGCCAAATCGGTGTCAGGTTGTCGTTGACTCGC